GTGTAGAAAAGAACTCAGAATTGCTTCATCAAACTACGGATTGAAGTTTTGGTGTTACAAAATCAACAAAGACGACTTTCGTCTTCAAATAAAATCTTTTCTAACATTCGTATTTTGTTTTACTCCTATTGTAAATTATTTATAGTGGGATTGGAACGTTAGTCTGTGCAAGTATCTTACACTCACTCGGAGTACGTAACCTGCTAGTTAGATTTCCTTCTTAATTTCAGAACTTAATCACCTTTGGTTTACGACGACTTTTCCTTATGATTTACTCTTCTTTATACAGATGCTATGCATCAATTACGTCGATTTGGACGTCCTCCTGACTTCAGCTAAATTTGGGGTACAGGGTAGTCTCAACGAGCAAGGTAAGGTCCTTTCTTTTACAGTGACCCGAGACTAGGCGACACACTCACGGGGTCTCTATTAACTAAACCTACACCTGAGCCGAGACCGAGGTACGCTGTCTACCTCTCCTCCTACCGCAACCTGAGACCCTTCTTCCTCTCTCCACACCTAGCTTCGACGTCTCTAAACTAACCGTGCCCTCTAATTCTGAGACCTCGGTTCCGTTCTGTCTTTCTATTACAACGACACTTAGGTAGGGACCACCACAACCATCGGTTTACCTAAGAGCACTATGCACATTTAATATCAAGTTCATAATAGGGAAGGTGCAACTTTACCTAGGAAAAGAGTATCATTTATGTCCTGCAGGGGGCTCCACAATACCAACTTGTTCTTCCGTTTGTAAATTAAATAAAGAGAATTCAGTATATATTCTTTTTTCGGTGAGGATATCAAAGGTTGGGTTTCGTATTAGAAAGAACTCAGACTTGTCATGGAAACACGGAAAGAAGGAAATCAATAAAGTAAAGTTCTGTAGCTTTACAAGAGACTTGGTAGGGTATTTCCTAACCACTTCACTATGCACGTCTAATATAAATGGAGAGATGCACAAATCGGAGAGAGTGACCCCAACTGTCGCAATAGGAAGTCCTTTTTCGTCTAGTAGTTATTAATCTGACTCTGACTTGAGTCATAGAAGGAGGTACGGTCTTGTATTCGATGCAGAGACAGACCGAGACCGAGACCGAGAAGAGAAGAAACTCATGCTATGAGTTGATTTTAAAGGGAGGAGAGCTGGCAGTACACAACGTACAACCTAGCGGAACGAGTTTATATAGGCTGATATCTACATACAGAGTTTCGACCTGGACTTCGTGTCCTGAATAACTGGGGCCACCTGGGGTGTACAGGACAAACTTTTTTTTGTTGTAACGAAACAGAAGTAAATGTTTGACAATGTCCAATCACTTTCGTCCGTGCTGGGTTACGTCCACTTGTCTCTTTTTATGGAAAATAAAGTCCACTTTTTAGTCTTGGATGGACTCTTTGTCAGGAGTCTGTTTTGCTCTTTGGTTTTTCTGTCTGTCCTTGTGTCTTGAATTTGTGTGTTTGATTAGTGCTTTGTTTCTGTCCACTCCTCCCTCCTACTTTTGGGCCCCGGGTCCACTGTGTTAGTCATTGTCCATCTCCCTGTGTGTGTCTGTCCTTTGTCCTGTCTAGATTTGTCTGTTTGTGTTGTGTCTGCAGACACTGTGTTTGCCGTACAAGAGGACTAAACTTGGTTCTTCGGAATAAGGCAGACTTGGATGTCTCCAAAAAATGCTTAACAAAATTCAGGAGTGAAAGTAAACGTCGTATAGAAGCAGGTCTAACATGACTTGATCTGTTCAAATACAGATCAAGTCTGGGTAAACAGATAATACTTTCACATACAACCATGTACCAGAGACTGTTATTCGATTTTATAGAAATTCAAGTCACCGCAAAATTGTTACCGAGTACAGTTAGCATGGTCTTCACCTTGCTCTCCCATCTTAATCCATCTTGCGTAGGTCACGTAAAATTGGTTTCTAATCTTTACCGTCACCATAAACTTTAGAAACACATAGTCATTATCTACTTGTCGCGCAAAACTTCGTTAATACAGACAGATTCAGTCTACAGTCTGTACCCTTTGCATCAACGCACATCAAGTAAATCATCCATAGTACACTTGTCCTTTACTCCTGCTGAGTTTAAGTCTGGGTCGTTAAGTCGTCTTTTAGTATTCTACTTTTCGTTCTTGGCTTCAGAAATTTCCCCTCTACAAAAAGACTTCGGAAAACCCATTCGACACCAGTCGTACCCGTATTGTTGTCTAACAAAAATATTTGAACAACAATTTCCTGGTACAGTACCCGTGTAAAGTGACTAGTATTAAGGTAAACAACTCCATATGATTATTTATCTTTTTTGACACGTTAAAAGTTTGAGGTAACAAAGCGTATTGTTCGTAGAGATCAGACATTCATACAACAATAAGTGTCATGGTGAAAGAGGTGATTTTCCAGCGACGTCGAGTTCAAAACTATAGCAGTGGCCTTCTCTTATATATGACGTTAAATGAGAAATAAATCAATGTTGGCTTCTGGTTTCAAACAGACACAGATAGCGGTCTCTTGGGGGACAGTCCTGTGTTTTACATGAGATGAAAGGGTCGAATTTAAGAGTTGCAAGGAAATATTTAATGTGTATTTACTCGTGAAACTGTTTCTGCCTTGACAGATGTGTGGTTTTACGGTCAGGTGGCTGGTTTAAGGTGTTGGTTTGAGTCGTATTTTAGGTCTTGTTAAATGCTCAGTAAATCATAACTGCGGACAGAAGCTTTCGAGGCTCAGCGTAATAACTCCTGACTGCTTTCTGGGGATTCTCTGTGATGTTTATGATCCGCTTTACCAGCTAGATCGCAGTGCACAGGAAAGCATAAAGCACCGTCACTGGGATCCGCTTTCAAATCTTTCCATAAATCTGACACATGAAAAAAAAAAAGGCGGGAGTTAGTTCACAAGCATGAGATGAACATAGAGAAAAATAACCGGTCTTATCACCGGCTGCTGCCCACGCACAACCAACACTACATTTTTCACTTCCCTCTTTCAAAATATGACTCATTTACTTCTTATTCCAGGATATCTAATACTGTTAAAGCTGAGAATTGTACATATTCACACGTTAAATCTACAGATGTGCTCGCAGGTGAGGCTTCTGAAGTTAATTCCCCATTTTTACACCAGCATAAACCCAGATGCAATTAATGCTTTAGCTCAATGAATTCAGTTCACCCTGCTCAGATACCAGACAGTGTGTAAACGTACGTGCTTGCATCCTCTCTTACTTCTTAGTTTCAGTACAAATACAGGAAACAATCTGCTGAACGCAAGAGATGAACTTCCTCTGCTCCCCTGGAGAATGACAGGTCACCAGAAGGTTGTAAATAATGAACTTCATGTCAGTCACGTGACTTTTATTTATAATTTGCTTCCTGCTTTCAACCAGAGCTCCAATCGAGTTGTTTTCTAGGACGACCCAGTAACAATGTGATTTTTGCATTTGATTTTGGATTATTGCAGAAAATAATGTCTCTGTGAAACGTATGATACTTGCACATTATCTTCATATCAACACTGCTAAGCTAAAGGTGGCTAATGTTGGGCTATGAAGGAACTACAGCACGGTCACATGACTTCACGTCACACACCGCTAAGCTAAGGTGCTAATGTTGGGCACAAAGGAACTACAGCACGGTCACATGACTTCACGTCCACCAAACCGCTAAGCTAAAGTGTAATGTTGGGCTATAAAGGGACTACAACACGGTCACATGACTTCAACCGTCACCACCTGCCTAAAGCTAAAGTGGCTATGTTGGGCTAAAAGGAACTACAGCAACGGTCACAATGACTTCACGTCACGACCGCTAAGTGTGCTATAAAGGACTACAGCTCGGTCACATGACGTTCACGTCACCACCGCTAAGCTAAAGTTGGCTAATTGTTGGGCTTAAAGGAACTACAGCCACGGTCACATGACTCACACGTACCAAACCGCTAAGCAAAGGAGGCTAATGTTGGCTAATAAAGGAACTACACAGGTCCCATGGACTTCACGTCACCACCGCAGCTAAGGAGGCTAATGTTGGGCTATTAAATGGACTACAGCGACGTCACATGACTTCACGGTCCACCACCGCTAAGCTAAAGGAGGCTAATGTTGGCTATAACGGTACATGCACGGTCACATGAACTTCACGTCCCAGACCCGCTAAGCTGAAGAGGCTAACGTGAGCAATAAACAACTTGTTAGCCAACCGCCGTTTTTAAATCCACCAGTGGGTATTTACTGAAGTATTTTATGTCGTACAAACAAAAATATGCTCAGCTGTGTTAACCACAGATCTTATTTCAGCCAAAAACACATTCAAAAAACCCATTGACGAGCGAGGTCAATTGCTAAAATGCCAGGGTTATCTTTCATGTAAGAGAAGGATAACTGTGGTTGGGAATCAGCTCAATACACAAACTAGCATGTATAAAATTCTTTCGAGCTGAATCATCCAACAACACAACTAACACACACACACACACACACACACACACATCACACCACACACCACCACACCACACACACACACACACACACACACACACAGCACACACACACACACACACACACACCACACACACACAACCACAGACTCAGACTCAGACATCCACCACGCCTTGTTTTTCCTCTGAGTGTCCTCTGATAAACTGCCCTCTCTCAGCGTCCGCTAAATGACCCCTGTCACCGAGGCGTTGCAGCCAGCGGTGCAGACACCTCGCGGAGAGGAATTGTACGTGGCGGTGTCCCGCTGTCTGCAGACAACAACAGAAACCAGTGACAAAGACAGACAGAGAGAGAGGGGGTGGTGTTGTACAGTGTGTCTGTGTCCCGCAGACAAGGAGACGAAGGACAGAAGTCGCTCTAAACTCCAGCTAACCTCGAAAAAACCAGCCACAGGAGGGTGAAGAGCGCTCACATCATGCAACCGTCTGAGGAGTCTAGACTGCCTCTGATTGGCTGTTCCACTGTCACAGCTGAGCAAAGAGAACAAATGACTATCCAGACATTTTAAACAACGGTAGGCTTGTCTATGGTTTAAGTTTATGGGCCCTCAAAAACGCTTCTTTTAACGAAAGTCCTTTTTATTAAACGTGTGTTTTTTAAGTTATTTATATAGCACCTTTCAACACAAGGCAATTCAAATGCCTTTACAAAAAATGAAAGCACTGAAGAAAATGGCATTTAAAAATAAAACAGTCATTCAAAAGCAGAGATGAATAAAAAAAAAACATGAAAAAAAAATAATGAATAAAGTACTGTGCAGTTTGAGATATGAATGAGTTCATGTAAGGTGGAAATATATGGATCTCATCTCAACCTTCAAAACACACCTTTTTAAAACTGGCATATTCAATATCTTAATATGTTTTTCAAACTGATTGTTGTTTTAAATCTTTGTTTTTAAGTCTTGTATTACGTGAGATCTTCTTTGTTGCTTGTTTTAATTATTATAATTATATATTATTATTGTTATTATTTATTATAAATAATAATTTATTATATTATATTATTAATTATTAATGAAAGGCTTTACAATAATATTAGTGTCTATTATTATTAACCAAAATGAAAGGATTATATAAAATCATATAAATTCAATATTTTAATAATAACAATAATGTCCTGATAAAAAAAAAATTCATAAAAATGTAATGCATAAACAATGATTTTTTAAATTAGAGTCGAAAGTATTCAAGCATCAATATTTAAGGAATTTATACGAAAATATTACGAAATTATAGTAAAAATATTTATTATTTGAAAATTATATCTCTTTAAGGCCTCAGACATGAAAAAAAGATACATGAGAAATAATCCTTATAACTTCTTTATTCTATTTTAAACAATTGAAATATCTAGATCAGAAAGTACATATTGGACATATATGTATATAAGGGTATATAAGTTATGGTTTTTAAATAACCCTAAAATTAGCTTTATTGAAAGTAGAGTATAAACTCTAAGACGTACATTGGTGGTAAATTAGTCACTGTTACCATGCATGTAGAAAAACTATCCACCTAAAAACAAAAAAAATCCTCACAACAACACACACACACACCACACACAACACACACACACACACCACACACACACACACACAACAACACAACACACACACACACACACACACTGTGTATGCAGGAGCGATGTGGACGGTGTGTCTGAGAAAGTATTTGGACCTATGAATGCCTACAGCTCGACACACACAAACACACACACACGCACAACGAACACACACACACACACACACACACACACACACACAACACACACCACACACAACACACACACACACCACCACAACAACACACACACACACACACACACACACAACACAACAACACACATCCAACACACACACGTGGTTTAACAAAGAGACGATGATGAGACGGGGTAGTCTTAGAATTTACTATGAAATGGCTAAACAAGCTCGACTCTCTGCTAAAAACAACACACACACACACACACACACACACAAAACACACACACACACACCAAAACACACCACCACCCACACACACACACACACCACACAACACAAAACAACACAACACACACAAAACCCACAACACACACATACACACACACAACCACACAACAACACACACCAAACACACACACACACACACCGAGGTTTCACACACAATAAACAACTCGAAAACACATCTAAAAAAACACCGGTAAAAACATAGATTCACACGTTTGTCATTTCCTGCTCGAGGCGCTACAGACGGGACTGCAGAGGAGCCGAGCTCCTTCCAGTCTAAACTCTGAGTACCATCTCATTATTTCCAGACTGTCTCTTGAAACGCTGCCCTTAAGATTCACTAAAGAGCAGCTCTGAGACTCTGCATCATCCAGGGATTAACCGAGGAGAGCAAAGAAGCCACGGAGGATTGGTAATGATGGTTCCTTGAAAGCTGTGGAGCTCAATCCAGCTTCACGTGGAGAACGTATCGGAAAATAAACGTTTATAAGACTTATCGTGACACAATGGCTGCGCACATCTCACTGTTGTTGAGCAGCCCGCAGATTGACCGTGAATGCCTACCCGTGGTTCACACTGATCGTATTTGGCTTCAGGAAATTCCAAACGGTTAATAATTGATTGGTACAATATCCGAAATGCTTCCACAGAAGTGAAGAGATCATGAGACAGGACATGGCCAAGTATTCTTGTTTCTCATGAATCTGTGGTAGCCGCTGTGTAAACTCTCACGGGTAAACAAGCCTGAAGCCAGTCATTATTTACCCGAACCCACAGTCATATCTCTGTAAAAGTGTGTACATGTATGGGAGAGGGGGAGTTGTTGACACAGCGGGGGAAACCCTTATCAAATACTGTGTGTATAATCTGTTCCTGTTTCCAAAGCAATTAACCTCGCATCACAGTGCGCTATCTAAATCTGAAATGAAATTGTTAGCTATTTGAATCTCAAACTATGACATGTTTGCTCTGCACTGTAGGACATGTCTCCTCCACAGAGAAGAGGACAGGTTGGGGCGGAGAAGTAACGGTTCTTTATTCCCTCGCCAAATGAGTTTCAAACCCACAAGGAGACCGATGTGTGACAGTTTGAGAGTTTGAGTGTTAATTATTTTGTATTTATTTAGGGNGGATGCCATTCCCATCCCAGAAAAACAAAAGCAGAAGAAACAAAGATACAGTCAGTAGGACCACTTCAACATTTCACAAACAAAAATAGGTTGATAACCAAATATGGTTATCAACCTATTTTTGTTTGTGAAATGTTGAAGTGGTCCTACTGACTGTATCTTTGTTTCTTCTGCTTTTGTTTTTCTGGGATGGGAATGGCATCCTATATGTTATTGTTATGTCCATGTTTGTGTCTTTAGCCTGCACAAAATAAAAAATTGGCGGCCCACTTGCAATGCCTTTGCGGACCACTAGGGGGCCGTGGGTTGGGAACCGCTGATCTAGTAGATTTATTTTTTAAAAATGAACATTTATTTTTTTTAAAAATGAACATTTATTTTAGAAAAATATATTGGTTTGGTACAGGCACTGTTTCAACCAATTTCCTTTTTAACCAACTGATTTTGGGATAATCATTTAAGAGAGTCTGACAAAAAGCGATTATCCCTCATGGCATCTACCTGGAGTAACATGTTTTCCCTTTACCACTCACCTGCTCCTCTGCTATTCTGGAGGTGTTCTGGAGTTTAATGATGGTTTGGTTGAAAGCCTTCTGCATCTCATCCATCTGCTTTCGGTACCTTGAATCAAAACATGGTAGAAGAAATCCTGATATTAAAGCTGCAATGGTCAGGCGATCAGACCATTGACTGAAAAATAGTCGCAATTGTAATGCAAAAGAGGCCGAAAATTGCTGTTTTCAACTGATATTTTTATAGGTTTTGGACCGAATTAACAAAACATTTAATGAAATCTAGGACCGCAATTGACAATTAGAATTTCCTCATCCACTAATCTGCCAATTAAAACAAATATATATATATATATTGAATAAACAAATAGTTAAAAACATCAATTGCATTTAAAAACATTTGAGAACAGTTTAAACAGACCAATGTAATGTCTTCACAGGGCTATGAACATTTTCTTAACACTAATCTACTAACTACTCTTAACAATTGGTGATTATTATCATGTCAATCGACAAATCAAATCAATTACCTCAAGTAATCTTGGATTTTTCACTATTTTATAGACCACATGATCAATCAAGAAATAACCTGGCAGATAAATCAATTGTAAAAACAAAAGTTAGCTGCGAAATATGGCCCTCTACTCTATACAAGAAGGACGACAACCATAAGCTGCTTTCTTTGTCTACATCCCTGTTCCTCACCTCTGGCTGAGCTGCTCCAGGTAGCGCCCGCTGAGCGACATGTTCATCTCCAGAGCCTTGATGCGGTTGTTGAGCCTCATGAACACAGACTCCTTCTGGCTGGTTCCGTGCACAGGGTTCCCGTTCGGCTCCGTGCCGTTGGGGGTCTCTGCGTAGATGTCCGAGGCGGCCGGCTTTCCACCTGATGATGATGACGATAAATCCTCCGCAAAATCCTCTAGTTTTGTTTCTGTGACGACTATGTGACCACCGGAGGGTTCTAGTTCGATAACAGAGTCTTGAGCTTCAATGTCACCACCTCCAGGTACTATGAGGGGGTCAGGGTCTAAATGAGGGGAGGGGACGGGTTGGAGAACTTGGGATTCATCTGTCGTATCTTGGGTTTCGATAGGGGCTTCTATCTCCGTTTTGGATGCCTCAACGTCAGACTTTTCTTCTGTCGGTGCCACAGAGGCATCGTCCATGCTTGGTTTTACAAAGATGGAGCTAGAGAGAGAATCTGAAGGCTCTATTTTCTCTTCATCCAGCACATCCTGGCTCTTCTCTGGCTCCTCAGAGGACATCTGTGGTGTCTCCACAATGGGAGTTGGTTTAGCAGGGGATGAATCAGCGACCGTAGGGAGGATGGAGGTTTGACTGGGCTCCAGCAGAGGAGGTTCCGACATACACTCTTGATGAGATTCTTTGTCGGTGCCTGGTGTTTCTGCGCCGCTCTCTGGCTCCTGTTCAGACGCTTGTTCTTCTTCATGGGGCTGATTTTCCTCAATGTGAGGTTCAGGGGAGGCAGAGGGGGATAAAGGAAGTTGCCAGGAAGGTGTTTGGATGGGAGGAATCACTTGCTTTCTGTTCACCGTTTGGCATTTCCTTTTTCTGGACAGCAGGGCGGCACACTGCTGGTGGAGATACTCCTGCAGGGAAGCAGCGCAAGAGCAAGAAGAAAGCAGTGAACAGTAGATCTGGATCTCTTGCTCATTCTTTTTCTCTTTTTCTTCTTCAGGCTCCTCCTCCTTATCCAGAAGGATGATGGTAGAGCTGATGTGTTCCTCCGCATTTTTCTCTAAGGGAACGATGATATTTTCCTCCACTGGGGGGAGCTCTTGTTCGATAGTTTCAGCAGTGGGTGTCTCTGAAGATGGGGCTTCAGTGGCAGGGCTATCAGGGTCTGGGAAGATATCTTCCACTTCAGATTGTGGACTACAGAAGGAGGAGAAGAAAGTACATCAAATCAAGAGAATTAAGTGCACAATAAGGCATCTGCGAGTTATGGTTAAGGGGATTAAGTATTATAACAGATCCTATTGGCTCCGTTTTGTTGTCATTTATTATTGTTGTCACTGTACTCTTTTTTATTAATTAATTGATTAATTTATGTTATGTGTGAGGTGGCAGGTTGTTTTAATACAAATGTAATGCATTTTATGATTTTAATAATGAAATGTATCCTTCAAAATGTTTGGTTTGTCGATTAGGAATTATGAAAGATCAAACTGACTCTGTTTTGTATTTGAATTACTATTGTATTTCATTTACTACTTCAAAAGTGTTATATGTATGATTTGCTTGAGTGGGTGGTATTGTCTCCTCATCAAACTGTTGTGTTTTCTGTATTTCTTATGAAAGATGTTTTTAGACTTACACTATAGTGAGGTCTGTAGTTTGGGAGGTGGTTTCAAGTATGGGTGATGGCTCGGTCGTGTTCACTTCCAGAGATGAAACGTTGCCTACAAATTAAAAAAGACAACCTTGAGTGTACACATGAATAATTACAACCCACAGTAGTCAAGGCCAACATATTGTCAACATCTTAAAAGTAGTGAATGCTATCTCCTTAAAGAAAGTTGAAGTGAGAGCTGAATACACGGGTCATACCTTGCATCTCTTGGCCTCCGCCGAGAACATTGACAGCAATATTATTTACCATGTTTAAAATGACATCTGAGAAGGAAATGTAAAGAGCAGTCAATACAGCGATCCACGTTGATAGTAGGAATCATTTTGCAGGCGAAGTTGCTATATTTACCCTTTGCTGATCCAATCAGATTGTTGGATAACTCGACTTCTCCAGGCGTGTGTCCAGCAGGATCATCTGTAAGGAGTAGGGCACTTTAAAAACACATCAATCACTTGCAGGAACATTAAAGCACAAAGATACATGTGAAAGTCAAACCACTATGATTTTATGGAGTGACTATAAACTTAACTTCTAACCCTCAACTCAATGGGGGAATTACATATTTATATATAGTGTGTCTTGCATGCTGCGAACATTTCCAAATGTACCAAATTCATTATCTACAAATATACTGAATGTTTGGTCGCTGCTAGTAATATATATATTTGATCGTTCTAAATTATTTTACATTATTCCTTAAACACATATTTAAAGTGTGATATGTAATGGAAATATGGATGCAACTGCAAATACGAAGTTGGTAGTCATTTTTCGTAACTTATTTTATTGTACTTTTTTTTTTAAATCTTTAATATTTTTTTATGTCATAGTGGGAGTTTTGATGTAAAAGCATTAGGTATGTCGTTAAATAAATATGTTGTTGCAACCGTTTTCTCCTGGGAAAGTAAAACATGTTGGCCTAGAGCATTTTTTTACATTATAGATTTGTCTGAGTGAGAAAGGTACTTACTGAAGTTTTGGAAATGTTTTTTTTGTGAACAAAACAATTGAATAAGAATACAAATGTTTGTTTATTCTGTCAATTATAGTCCTGAAAAGGGTCAGAAAACGAAACTAGCCTAGAATGAACAATCAGTGCATTCTCCAGTTGCGATGTTGTTCTCAGTTCTCACCCAAATCATCGTCCTGATCATCGGGTCTCTCTGCGGGGTCGGCTATCTCCTCGTACTCTTCCACCATGCTTGTGCCAAACACTCTGTCAAAATAAAATACATCAGAATCATTCTTGAACCAAGCTCATGTAACAGTGACATCTGATCTCACTAGCCACTTAAAGTGATCCGGACTAAAGCCCACAACACACACAGGTCACACAGTGTCGGAGAATCCTCGAACAGCTGCTCCTTTTCTTCAACAGTTTCCATTACTGAAGCAGCTTTTGTGCTCAGGCTACAGCCAGATTTATCTATACAGTTTGCAGAAGTGGAAGCAACAGCTGCATTCGCCCTCCTGATTCCCACCATAGGCTTGATAGTGTGAGGAAGGGGGAATGTGAACTGAGCATGACCACCTGCTGAATATTACCTAATAACACTTGACACCATCTAGAGATCATGCAGTTCAAGCCATCATTAGGAAACACACTTTAAGCCTAGTGTTAGAATACATTATTTTATTTAAGTTTTCCGCACTCTCGCAGGAATATCTCCGCAATGGAGCGAGCTTAAGTTTCATTTTCCATTGCATGATATAGCCCAGCGCAACACCTTCGTCACACATGTTGCCACTTGTTTGAACCATTTTTAGGGGATTTGTAATCTGTTCTAGAAAAACTACGTGTTTTTAGGATTTCAAGAAGCGTATAAAATAAACAATGGATGTATTTTATGAACATTTATCAATGCTGGAAGTAAATTTAGATGTGTTAGGAGTTAGATAGAGTTAGATAGAGATTATATATCTAATATATGCATCCAATGAAGCATTGCATGAAGTCTGTTGATGATCAGAGGCTGTTGTTGGGGCTGCATAAACGTTTTTTTATTTTTGTTTTGTAGACAGACCATGCAGGCCTCAGAGAGTTAAACTTGGGCGTGCGACCATAGTTTTATTGTATTTTGTTTTGAAAATCCACAGCGGAGGTTTGTGTCGTACTACATGCGGTGTATTTTGCATTTCTCTCAGTAGCCAACGATCTGTGAGTCTGTTGTCTCGGACATAAACTCCGTAATAAATGTAGTTTACATTTCATAAGAGGTGTAAAACCTGTGCGCATTTTAAATCGCATTTGAACTAAATGCTTATATAATCTGTAGTTGTATTTGTATCGTTGATTTATTGTGTGAACGAGGCGATATAGAGAAGGTTAAGCTGTCATTATTAGGCTGTTATGTACTGTTGGAGTGGTGAGCAGGGCTATTGTTTTTGGATATTTGTGGAGTTAGGTGGTCCGCGAGTGTTTTTTTATTGGTTAAGAGGTCCTTGGTATGAAAAAGTTTGAGAAACACTGCGCTAGTGGATTGTCAACGGGGGGAGCCTCGCTACGGGGAAATTCTACATATGGCCAGTCCGCCCCTGAAAAATGTCTATGCACCCGTTATTATTAATTAAAAACAATTATACATTTTTTAAAAATTAAATGTTTTTAATTTTCAATTTTTCCCCACTTTGGGAACCCCTGGTCTAGACAACCAACAATCATGGATGCATACTGGATACAGTTTGGAGGCGGGGCCCCGTTAATTTCTACGAAAGTTACGCATTAAGCCAAAATGGACAGAATGTAGATTCATTGGTCCCCGAATCATCCGGGGACTTGGGCCCATAGAGCAAGCGCACTTGAGTTTTCCTTAAGCCCCGCCTCAAATTTGCCGTTCTTTGCTCAGTTTCGATAACTTAAAACAAATATTATTCGGGCCACCGGATAGATCAGAAGTTAGAGCTGGCGGCCCCTAGCGCTGTCCACTGCCAAGTATCTGGGTTCAAATCCCGAGTGCGCAGAACGTTTCAGGCAATGTCATCCCCTCTGTCTCCCCCTTTCACCTCTGTTTATCTAGAGGCACACCCAAAATATATCTTAAATGTTTCTTAAAATTGCACTGGTTTACAGACGTCTCTTTCCCAATGTAAGTCAGTGTAGTACCACCTTTTGGCATCTACTTACATTTGCTTTAACAGGTGGCTCACTTCCTCTGGGCTTGCTTACAATATTCAAATCCAAATAAAATTAATGTTGGAATGTGTTAGTTAACTTATCTTTACATAAATATTAAGAGCATAGTACCATAACCCAGACATCACATCAGTAGATGAAGGGTACAATATTATAATTGGATTTTCTGTAATGGAAACAATGTCATTCTTTTGTATACTTCCTGGGTTTTTTTGTGCTTTGGTTGTGTGTGTTTATAATGGAAATAAGAAAAAGATTAACCACTGTATAGACCGACCTAGTAACGATTGTGCAAACTGTAATATAAATACTATGGGACTTCAAATTAAGAATAAAAAAAACAATTGTACATACCTTATGAGACTGAGGGGACAGAAATGTTCAGAGCCAAAATGAGAGACCAGCTCGACCTAAAAGAAAAGGAAAAATATATTTAAATATTATAATTGAAATGGCTGCTGTATTTAGCCACACACAGATTAACACCTGCCGCAGTGGTTTCATTATTTACAAAACAGCAGAGCCGTGATTTAGTTTGACTGTGAATCAGTATAAAAGGCTCAAATTAAAAGAGCCTGTGACACGAGTTTCCCCCATCATCCAAACCCATCAATTTGAGTAAATATTATCCCCTTGAAAACCGTTACTGAACTGATTTTGGATATTTGTACTTTGNTAATGAAGAGTGGGATTAAAGAAACAATAAATGTTGTGTTTTTGGTGGTATTTGGTTGTCAACCTATTTTTGTTTGTGAAATGTTGAAGTGATCCTACTGACTGTATCTTTATTTCTTCGGTTTTTGTTTTGTTTTTGTCTGAGATGGGAAATTTCAATGGATTCAATGGATCATTAAAGTCATTAGGGTGTATCCTCTGTCTACCATGAATGAACACAATTTGGTCTCAATCCCTTGACTAGTGTTTAAGTTATTTCAGTCCGGGTAAAGTAGTGGACGAAAGAGAGTAAACATTACTTATTTGTGGCCACGTATGCGCTCTAAATCGTTCCTGAATTCAAAAACCCACAACCTTCCCCTCATTGGGAAATTTGTTTGCAGACCTAACAACAAAGTGAGCTATAGAGCTGCTAAAAAAGGTTGAACAGTTGAAAGGGATGTAACAAAATATGTCATTGTGTTTGTGTGCGAGTGTCTAGAATGGGGTGTATCTACTGTCAATAATTGCAAATTGCAAGTTACATCTCTCTTACCTCACAAAGATAGGAAATGCAATATTCCTCCAGTTCTGTACACATACTGTATGACAGCACTAACTGCCGACTGCTTCCTGACTTCTTACACTCTAACTAAAGCATGGCCTAGACGACGACATAGGCTGAAGTGAGTGTGTTGACACTGTATGTGTGTGTGTGTGTGTGTGTGTGTGTGTGTGTGTGTGTGTGTGTGTGTGTGTGTGTGTATGTGTGTACTTATCCATCAGATGTAATTACCTTGTGCATATGTGTGACAGTGATAAAGCCCAACAGCTACTCTCAGCACCTACATTAAAGCACCCAGTCCATTTTGATTTGCTGCCAAAAGCAATGACACATGAACGGTTGTGCGCGCGAGACCTATCGGTTGGAGGGCAAATTATCCATACCATGACTTAATTATGGTCTCCTTGTTTAATTGGAACGATCTTGACTTTGTCTCTGCATACCTTAGCACGGATCAAAGCATAGGTAATAACGCTTTGGCTGCCTCTGGTACAGGAAGTAAAGGAGTGGCATTGTGGTAATCCTTTCACATGTCCCTGCTTTCTATAGAGTGCCACAGTGACGCGTCCTAAAACCCGGAAGTAAGCTGCGCATGGGTTACTTCGACAAAAAAGCAATGCAATTTCTCCATAGGATTTTGGAAAATAGCTCGAAATAAGGTCTGTGGTTGACACACATTTAAGAGACGGATCACGTTTTGTTCAGTCGGATAAAATCCACATGTCTACCCTACTTTTACAATTTTCTAATCATAAATCTAATCGATAGATTTATGATCGATAGATTTATGATTAGAAAATGATAAAAGTATGGAGAAATTGCATTGCTTTTTTGTCGAAGGAATCCATGCGCAGCTTACTTCCGGGTTTTAGGACGCGTCACTGTGGCACTCTATAGAACAGCATTTCCCATCTTCATTATAACCATTTCAATGACTGATGCCTCATTAATTAGTTGTTACACTGAAAAGGCTATATATTGTTATTCATTGTAAGAGAGGAGAGGAAGAAAACATATGTTCTTAACAGCGTCACTATGGATTCAGGGCTGGAATTAGACTTTCAAACAAGCAGCATCACCCACTTGAGAAATCTCAAACACACAATAAGGGGGAGAAAAACAAAGGGAAGAGAAATGTATTGTGAAGAAGCACTTGTATTAAGAGGTAAGATTGGTTTTCCACACTAGAATGTATCCACCACGTCCTTGCAGTTGTGCTAACATTTGCTAATTAGCATTAAACACAAAACAGAGGCTGGTGGTGATGTCACAGGTTATTGGTCAGATTTGGTAAGTATTGTAAAGATGTGAAGGGATTTCGTGGGTAACAGGATAGTTTGAACCTGATTGTTTGCCAATCCATCTGATAGTAGGATATATTTTCCTCCTAACCATACAAAAATAACTAATTGTTGAACTAGAGAAAAGTCCTGTCTGCACAAAATTGAGATGTTTCACTGCACAAGCAAATGTTGACTTGCTGGTGGTGTCAAATCAAAAGTCAAGGGTTTGCACAAGATATTACTATTCACCATTTGAATGGACAAGTAGCTTCGATAATGGAAGATAAACATCCTTCCACTTCTTATTAGTGTTGTCTGAATCAAGCAAATACCAATTTTGTTTTTTGAGAACACAACATATATTTTCAATTTACTGTAAAGTTATTTCATTGAGAGGTAAGATTAGTCTGTTTACCACACTGGAATTCATCTGCTCCATCCTCGCAGTCTTTTTGGCCGTCGCATAGCCAAACGCTGGAGATGCAGTTCCCACTTGGACAAGCAAAGTGGCCCTCCTCGCACTTCTGCCCATGGGAAACTGGGACAAACAACACAAACAAGTCAGTCCTCTTAAAATAAAGCAATGTTTGAGGTCATTATATCTTCCTGAGCTCTCTCTGAATCTCTCATCCCACTGTCATTATCATCTCCAAAAAATGAGATCAGTCTTAAGTCTTTTCTAATTGAAGCTGGCATCCATAGTCTGTCTCAGAGTGTCTGTCTATGTCTGTGTTTGTTTGCGTAGGTTTCTCACCCTGACAGTTGGTCTCGTCAGCATAGTCCCCACAGTCGTTGGCACCGTCACAGATCCATGTCGGGTGGATGCACAGGGAGGTGGAGTTGCAGCTGATGAAATCCTTTTCCGTCACCCCCAGCTTGTAGAAGTGAGAGCAGTCAGTGTGGTCTGAATACAAAACACAGCGCCACAATTATTGTCTCGTCACCATGGAAGGAATTGAAGAGTCAAAGGGTGAGTGTTTAGACAAAAGTCAATACAAAAAATATATGAATAGATAAACAGATAAATAAATAAGTACATAAATATTTATATTTTATCAATAGTTATGTTTCTAATTACAATAAGCCTAATTTTAACTGAATCTGAGTGGATGTCTTTTTTTAACTTCTCTAATAAAACAAGTATGATGGCGGATCAGCAGGTGAGGCATCAATGTTTCTTTTGGCGCATACATTTAGAAAAACATCAATAAAACGAGACCTGGGCAGACATACAGTAAGTAACCAGATTCCTGTGATCTGCTACACCTCAGTTTTCTGCATATTTATTTGAGCCATACTGCAATTGAAAATCACAAGGTGAAGGACTCACTGCAGCTTTTTTCATCCGAGGCGTCGGCACAGTCGATGACCTGGTTACACCAGGCTGAGCTGGGTACACAGCTCCCATCCTTGCACGATGATTCCGATGATCCGCATGTGACATCTGGGGGAGAGAATTAGCATTTCAAAAAGCAATCGGAGGCAGATACAGGTACGGCTCAAAACAATACTTTCTGGGGGAGGTTTAAATAAGCTTCCTGTCCTGGCAGATAAGAAGAAATCTCTCTGATGAGTTGGAGAATCAGTGCTATAAGCACTGGCATAGTGCTATCACCCCCTGAGTGCGGTGCAAGAGCAAATGACCCATAATATGCGAGATGGGCATCTTGGTTTGTTATTAATTTACCAAGTACTGAACAATGGTTCCGCTCATTCCCCCAGCCTGCAACACATAATCAGTATATAACATACATGCTACTATAATTACATTTCCCTAATAGGAATGGAAAAAGTTATTGGTGGTGTCCCATTAAATAGCAAATGCAAGGCAGAAGATAAACTCCTGGCATACCATAGTTGGAAAGTGTGCATTAATTATGAAAACACTTCTATCTCCTTGTGGGCTTCTATCAGCTTGGTAGCTAGACCTTGATAACATCCCACTTTAGTCCAATTACAGCAGGGGAATGAGCAACTTTTACTGGATTATTTCAACATCCAAGGTTAAAAAACTAAATCAGTCGCAACAAATTGTCCAGGCAGCTTCACATGTTGGGGGGGCTTGTGAGCTACTTTGAATCTGTGCACTCTGATCTTGGGGCTCATTAGACGGTGAAGGCTTAGCTCAGCATGTGGCCTAGCGTGGCGTATTAATATGAGCATTAGTGTCGCCGGATCTTGCCCTCGGAGGCAGGACGGGATTGAAACGGGACAGATTGAGCCACAGATCAAACAGTTGCGACTCACTGCTACAGAAAGCTTCATCCGAGTTATCCCCACAGTCATCGATCCTGTCACAGAAGCGACTGTTGGCCACACACCGTTGGTTGTAGCAAGGTCTGAAACCCTTCCGGCAACTCCTGTTGTCTGGACACAGTGAAATTAATTTGAAAGTTAAACCATCCTCCTTTTAAGCGCTCCAAAATCAATCCACAAGTAATTATTTATAAGACAATTCATCCAGGTGTTTCTTACCACAGTACTGCATCTTCTCATCTGATTTATCCTTGCAGTGGGCTACTCCGTCACACGTTAGCTGGTAGTCTATGCACTCGCCATTTCCGCACTCAAATTCAGTGTGGATGTTGCAAGAGGAATTTTCTGCTGCAGGAGAAGACAATGAGGCTGTCAAAATCTCAAAGTTGTCTGCGCATATTGGGAAAACTTTGTAAAAGTATGTGAGTTCAGAGGCACTGTGTACTGTAGTGTAGGGTCAACATTTGTAAATGTCATTCAATAACCCAATTACCCTTAAACTGTTCTTCAACTTGAGGGAAGTCTGGCTGTGACATGCTTGGAATATTCTCATATTCAGTTAGCAGCTAACTGTTTTTTGATTCAGGGCAATGATTTAATAAGAAATGACAACATTTTACTAGTTGAAATTTGACAATAAATTAATTCACGGACCAATCTCTGTCTCTTCTCTGCTTTAAATGTTTTTAAATTAAACGTTTTCTTGCTCCAGTAATGAAACAAAATGGGGTGTGGTGTAAAAAGCTTGTCGTCCTCTAGCGTGACATCCAGGCGACCATCCAGATTTTTCCCTGAGTCACTTGCCATGTTTAGTCTGGCCAAACCTCCATCGTTTGAACAGCTCCTCCCACCTTATGGTCTATCCTCACATTGCATTTCAAATTCAACCTGCAATATGTCAAATTAGAGAGCCAGACACCATTGGAATAATTCAGTTGTGTGACTTTCAGCAGGTAAGTGTAACACCCCATGCTTTCAAATATGTTTTTCTGGCATAAACATAAAGTCCCAAATGATATAGCCTTATTTCCCCGAGCAGTATCGACTATGATTATTGGAATCGTTACAAACGGACTTGCTTAGTCGAAGAGAAAGAAAACAATCCTGCCTTTCTGTGTGTTTACGCTTAAAGGAATCAATTCAAATACATCAAAGGTTCGTGTAAACAGCACAAATAAGAGCCTAACTCAAGTGTGGACATAACCCAGGTTAAACCATGCATTTCAATGTTTTCATAAAGAGCGTCCTTTCAATCGATATGTGGTACCGACAATGTCCCGAGGGTTAGCACTTGTGGTTTAATTAAATCTAAAGCTCCTCATGACTTACACACGCATCGGTTGTCATCCAAGAGCACACGTTCTCCGCGGCAAGTGCAGTTGACCCTCCCATACGGGGTCAGGAGACAAAGGTCGCCGCAGCCTCCGTTCATGTGTCGACACGGGGACAGCTCACCTTCAATAACAATCAAACAGAAGTGATTAAGCGGCGAGAAGCAGTGAAAGAAAGAATTTCCCCCGGGGCACACTCTTTCTTTTAGGTCTGTGAAGGTCCAACGTGTTCAATTATTGGGCGGTTTGAAAAATAATACTAATTGGGATTATTTTGACTGTTACAATGTGATTCATGATATTGGAGGGATCGATCATTCTTTAATCTTAATTCCCACTATCATTGAACGATATATTACCTGATTATGATGTTATTGTTTGATGGCATCTGTATCAAACTTACCCTGTTGTGCTCTTTGGGGTTGTCCCTTTCCTGTAGTGTGTGATATAGGTTTTTGTGCATGTAAATGGTCTGCAAAGGCAACAATCCTAAAGTGTCTCTCCCACACACGTCTCCGCCCCCCCCATGCCTGAAACACCAGCTTTGGATTCCTTTGTTTACTTCTGTAACATAGTGACATCACAATGCAACACTATTTGCTAGCGCTAAGGGGCGGTACATCTCTATTAGGTTGACCAATCACAACAGAGCCGGCCAGCTAACCAATCAGAGCAGACTGCACTCTGGTTTCAGACAGAGGGAGAAAAGAGGTGCTGGCAGGATGAGAAAAATAAAGCACTTTTCGAACATTAGTGTCATTGTAGAGGGACAAAATACAAGTATGAACCATGAATATATGCATATTAAGGCTCTTTTAAGTCTGTAACATTGTATTTGTTCCATGATATCTCTGCAGTTTCAGAATACTTAATTCAAAAAGGTATTTTTTTACATATTTAGCCTTTAACAAGTATTGTGCTTCCTGTGATTTGAATATTGCACTGGTCCATATTGCGATTTCAATATAAAATTTGATTAATTGTGCAGCGCTATTCAATACACTCATGGGTTTTTTTTTTCCGAGCCTTCCTTTTTTACTACAATATTAGTCAGTGATTTTCCAAATAAATTCCATTTGAAGTTGACAAATGATTTGGGTTTGGTAAATCTATACAGGAGCTCTTGCTTTTTGAATCTGAGGGCCTAACACTAAACCTGATCATTACTGCTAATCGAGACGAAAGCCAATATAGATTTTCTCCTGTAAAATTAAATTACAGCAAAGACAGAAACATCTTGATGTGATGTGCTATGGCATGGCATTATCGATATTATCTGATAACATCAGGAAAAATGTATTTACCAGTAATCCAGAAAAAAAACTAATTTTTATGTGACATGTGTTTTTTTATTTAATTATGGGGAAATGCAACACTTAGAATTTGTTTCATTTAAAAGGATGAGCAGTGGTCAACATGTGAATTCAAAGAGTTGTTCCATTGTTAAAGGATACCTATATCCTCGCTGACAGGTAGCAAAAGTATAAAAGATGCTGCCTTATTTTTTCTTCCTCTGCCTTGGGCGCTGTGTGAAGCTCTGTGGGAATCATGTATTGCACTAAACCGCATGACCAAACTGCAGACATAACCCCTGGAAGAAAATGCGAAGGAGAAAAGGTAGAGAAGAAGCTTAGCAACAAGACATGTAGTGTTAAGTGTAAGTGTTAAGAGACATGTCTGTCCCTTCTGTTATTATCTGCCCTCCAGCCATGAGGATTGTATTCATTTGAGAATAAACAGTTCCTGTGTTCTGACTTCCAGGTAAACCATTTGTATGAATATTTAAATACAGGATATTCATTGCCGAAGAAAAAGAGGTTAACAATAAAAGACCTGAAGAAAGGATAAACTGGTTATCAAATCAACCATTGTTGCTCAGTGGACATTATGCTGTCGACCTGCAGCTGTGCCCACGCAGGTCAAAGGATGTGATTATGTTTCATGAAGAGATAAACAAGGAACCACATCGCTCTCGGCCCAACCACTGGGACACACTTAAGCCCACCTTCGTTTGTCCTACTTGGAAATAAAACTTTATACGACCCTTAAGAGACTCCCTTAATAACATAGGCTACTTATTTTTATTAATTACCTCTGAAACGTACTATTCTAGCGATTCTTAATAAGAACACCTTTATTTATCATTCATTTATCATACCCTTTGCCTTTTTTAGAGCTTATTAATCAGATATTATTAGCAAACACTGACACTAGCTAGCTGATAAGATATACTGTGTTGAATATTTTACTTTTAGTGTTGTATTTTCTTATTATTCTTGTTAATTTGTTCTTAGCTTTTTTAAATGTGTACATTTGGGTGTATCAGTTTACTGTTCCTTAACAAATAAACATAGTTCTACTTTTTTATAGATGTAATAATAGATTATATATCCTTTTTCAATGCATTTCCTGTTATAAATATTAAAAATAAATATAAAAAAACTACTGAAATATTTCCAAAAAACGTTTTTTAGGGTACTCTCTTACCAAAAGTGAATATTAACTTTATTCATTTACATCCGTAGTCACTGGATGAAGGCCACCATGTACAGGTTGATGAAGTAAGAGATAAGAGTACGTTGCAGTGAATAAAGATATTATACTTTGAGTCATATTGGTATTAGCCTCAACTAGCAAGAACAAACCTGGCTTTATTAGTTCCCAGCGCATTGAAGCAACAACAATTGCCGGGCTAGGGGAGGATACTGTATACATGCCTCAATATCCTCATTTTGTTAAGTACATCGTAAATACAGCAGTGTATTTATTTAGATCTGTTGTCCTTAACTACACTTTTTACACAATAAAAATGCTTATGTGTAAACTTCCGGCCATAAACACACATCATCGCCCACGCACCTGCCCACACAGAATACACAAATATTTGCAGACACAACATTGCATCCAATGGTCATCAAGCAGAGCTCATCTCCAGCTGTTCAAATACTCACAGTTGTTTGTGTCCCTGGCCACTGCTATAATTCCCATTGGTTGATGAGGTATGTCCGCTCGAAGTACCTTGGTGTCCGCGCCCGTGTACTTGTTTGATCGCAGCACGGACCTGCGGGCCCAATCCGACCAGTAGATGAAATCTGCATAGATGGCGAGACCGTAGAAGTTTCCCGCTCCCGATTTAACTATGACCTAAAAGAATATAGGGAAACATCTTCATGTTAAAAAATATCATGCCTTTCACCTTTAGAGTATCCCTTTTTCTGTGTTTTCCATTTCCTGTAGCATGTACATATGTTACAGTAGAGGCACAAAACACAAATATGAGCATAATATGTCCTCTTTGAGGCTTGTGCTGTCAAATGCCATTCATAGCAATGAACTTAGCACATTTAACAATATATGTGATTCTAAATGCCAGAATAGATAATCACATGTGCATTTATACATTTCAATACTTGTATCTCCAAATACAATACTCTTTCTAAAAACTGTCTGGCGAAAGCATCATCAGAATGTTGAGTGAAACCCTAGGAATAAATGTTTCGACTCATTAATCAACACATCACACGCGCTGCCCACATGACTGCTTAACCCAGATGTTGAGGGAGTAAATGACAGTGTCATTGGCAGGGAGGCATGAATCCATCAGATGGCTCCTTGTGGGACTCTCCAGGCTTGTGGGGGGGGGATCATGGCTGCCAGCAGATATGTAGTCTTAGTCATTAGTGGGACAGGCTTGTAAGCAGCATCACATTAGCCCTGTGCCATACTGGGATTAATAGGACAGGTGTTGATTAAAGGAACCCAGCATGTGGAAGCAACAACTGGCCATCAGGCAAGTGAGAGACAGGAAAAGAGGCCTAGTGTGGATCGCCAGATGGGGTCGAATGCAACATATTGATGGGAAATTAGATTTGGGAGACATTAAGTTTACAGCCAGTAACATATTACACTCTCGGAAGTTGTGTTTTGGATGAATGTGAACATATTCTGTACGTCCTTATCAGTCCTTTACTTTTCGATAATGTTGAAACAAGGTTCTTCCTTAACCATGTAGACAGACTACAAACCGATGACCTGAAGAGATATACATGACAACACATTGCTCACTCAAATGACACTTACCATTCCCACACACTCAAGTTATATTTGCCAAATTCCTGGTAAAAAGGGTATATTTCCCCAGGCCAAACATGCTGACATCTTCCCTTATTATGCACTCCGCTGCCCTTTGTGAAGCACTGCCGTCATTAACAATATGGGTCTCCACTCTCAAAATTGTACGGGGGAGTGGGCCATGCCAAAACTGCCAACGACACTGTCGGCATGTAATGGCACTGCTGCAGAGAGCGGGGGTAGCTGGGCCCTCGAGGACACTTCAACGCCATCCAAGTCTACATTCATATGACTACATACAGAATTGCTGTAATACAATGCCTTTTATTGTATCTATTCTAGAGCGTAACACATTTTTTTAAATTCCAACATTGCCTATTGCAAGTTTTAAAATATTGTTAATTGACAGGGAGCCAAGCCTTGTCTTCAAGAGACCCTATGTTGCTTTCCTGAAATGTGGTATATTGTTTTTTGTGCATGTAAATGGTCTGCAAAGGCTTAAATCCAAAATTCCCTCCAGGGAGAGTTTCTCTCCCCAATACTCCCCGCCCCCCTGCCTGAAAAGACTCCATTGGACTCCTTTGTTTACTTCGGTAACACAGGCAGTATGAGAGAAATTAACAATTGTTTGAACATTAAAGCATTTAAACATATCATAAATAGGCACAACATTAAGATATGAAACTTGAAAATGTGCATAATAATGCCCCTTTAAGAGTTACCCAAACACTCTTTGGGTATAAGCTCAAGTTAACAGCTACCTCTGTTTAATTTACACATTTTAATTGGAATGGTGAGTGTGCACCCTGAACGGTCTCACTGCAAAGCCTTCATTAGCAGGTCTAAGCCGCAGCGAGGGCAGGTGGGGGACCCGAAGGTGAAGATTCTCTGAGCCTTCTGACCCGGCTCGGGACACATATGGGTAACTAATTGAGATGGGCCAAGGTGCTGAGCTGCCGAGGTCATGTCAAGAAAAATTTGAAACTCATTGCAAGAAAAGGCAATCTTGTACTGTAATCTTTCATACATCCACTGATATATAATCTTTTATATATCCAGCTGGGATTTTATAAATTATGCATGCAACGTTTCATAGGCAAAGTGAGAACTTTCCTCACTGAGATTCTTTAGTTTAGCAGGGAATGACTTTTGTGATTAAGGAACCATCTGTACCCTTAGAGCTGAACTATCAGAAAGAACATCAAGAGGGTTTTCAGATCCTATCCGCTGCGTAGAGGATCATATTTCAGGAGCTCAATAGGGATGGGAAATTAAATGGAAGAATGTTGAGGAAAAGGGCATATCAATCTGACATCCTTGTTTCACTTAATTCGTTTTTTGTAATGAACATCTTCATCACTGAGAGAGATTCATGAAAATAAAATATTCTAATTAGCGAATCACTGGGGTGTTTTCATGAAAAACAATAGAAATGTCCAAGTTAATAACTTTTATCATGGCATAGAAACTTAAATAGACCGGATTAGGCAACTGCAATAATATATTTTACTCAGGGGGGCATTTATTTTATACTCACATATCTGCTGGTGCCATCAAAGTCACATCTCTCAATTTTGCCAAGGCTTCCATCTGAGAAGTAGAGCTTCTCCGCTTTGTGGTCAATGGTCAGTCCGTTGGGCGTCAGGATGTCCGAACTGACGATAATCCTCATGTTTTTGCCTGCTAAGGTGGACCTCATGATGCTGGGCCTCTGCTCGTTCCAGTTGGTCCAAAACATCAGGCTAAAATGTGGAAGGACAACCAAAGAAACGTTTATTTTATCGTCTTTAGTAATTTAGCTATAACAAGTGGCTTGATCGTAAAGTGAAGATATCATCCATTCTCTCCAAAGAATCACATCTTCCCATTTACGAATGTCTACCACCGGAGCAAGAACTACAATTCAATTATGTGTAGTCTAAAATTGAATCAGGGAGCAGGGATGATGGTTTTTGCAAGTGCTACTATAGCAACATGTCAATCAGGAGACTCTCTGCTATGCCGGCAAAACAAACCCTAATCAACAGAAAAAAAGCTTCTCCTCTGAATCAAATTAATGGAGGTTTAAGCATTTTTGTCAGTGAGTTATCAACATGTTGCCAAGACTTCCACGGGCCTGTCATCGGCTCCCCCTTTTTCGCCCCGAAGGAGCTCATCACCAATAACTAAGCTGCAATTTGATTAAACTGATGAGCATCGCACGTTGTGAGATAGAGGTCATATATTCGTAATCCTGCCATGTGAGGACATCTAAGAATACAAAAAACACAGATAGAGGAAAGCAGTAAATAAATGAAAGATCTCTATCTTGGTTCTTGGTACGGGTTTGCAAGATGGATGGTGAATGTATTAAATCTACAGCTATGCAGATAAACCACAGACAAATAGAGTTTGAAATAAAAATATCTTTCTGCCACTGGGCCCTTGCATCACACTATGATGAAGTCATGGTAGTCCACTCTAGTGTGATAATAAGGATTCCGGTTAGAAGTCACAACCAAGGGCCGCTAATTAATCACTCGAGTTGGAATTCTAATTATCAGACAGTGCTGCTGGAGTAGGATGGATATGGTGCCAAATTGCCGACCAAGGATATAGTCAGAGGTCAAGAAACTGTAGTACCGGACGAGGAGTGAAATACTGACTCTTTTAAGACTGCTCGCAGAAACAAATGATATTCATGATTATCCAAGAGTTAGATCTTTGACAGTAATACTGAGGTGTTCTTTTTGAACAACAGACAACACTTTTTCTGAGAGAACTGGCAACCAAAGTAAACTGTTAAATCAGGTATTCAATAAGCTGTTGATGCAGCTCAGGTGTTAAAATGCTAAACAAGGCAATCTTTATCTCAGTGAAAAGGATTGTTTAAAACAAAAAAATAGGGTCTTGAGATTAAAAATATATATATATTTAACACTAAAGCTGCCATTTATTTTTTTATTTAGTTTTCTTTAATCTTGTTAATTAAGTGGGATTTAATTGTTAGATAATTTGAAGGTTTCTGGAAACGGTGAGAAGAAAGCATTGTCAAACCTACTTACCAACATAAGCAGAAACCTGTTTTTATCTTAAAAAGAAAGAAGTCCTCAGTTTTGTAATATTATTTAAATGCAAGTGTTGTTATGTTGTGTCATCTGGAACAGTAAATATAATCAGAGCCTTTTCCCTGATTCAATGTTTATACTGAATAAGGCTGAGACAATGAAAGTTAGATCAATTGTTGTATCATCAGCATAGCAAATAAAATCAATGTTATACTAAAGGATGATGACCCCAATTGATAAACACATTGTAAAAACTGAGCAAAATATGTAATTATAGGTACAGAAAATATTTTGAGTGACAGTATCAAAAGCTGAATTTAGGTCCAGAGTTTTCTTGGATTAACTGAATGATACAATAATTCAGAGTAAGAGACCATTCGGAGAGATATAAAACAGCTACTGACTTTTGACACTCATCCAGGGCCAGGACATGTGGATGGTCTTCCTCCGAGAGAGTGACCACAGCGTTCCGGCTGAAGGCTCCGACTCGTGTCTGGTCCACAGTTTGTCTGGTGATGGTGGAGGTGGTGGAGCTGGTCCAGTACAAGGTGTCCCAGCCCTGGTGGTACGCGAGGCCCTCCACCGAACCAACATCTTAAGAAAAGAATACAAAGACAAATAAGAATTTGGCACAAGTTAGAAAGAAGAAAACGTGTTCAGACATCACAAAAGAAGCACTGGTTTATTTAAAACACACAGGCCAGTCTGAAGGACACAGATGTTTGAAGCGACATCTAGCAAAATCCAAAAGTAGAAAATGCATCCACCTTATTAGTGTGTTTCATCATTTGTAAGAAAAAGAAAATCGGAGTAAGAGACCATCTGAAAATTAAGTGTACACAACATAACAAGGTTTCTCCTCTTACAATTTAGGTTCAGGGAGAACTTATTGATATATATGGTTGTGTGGCCTTTGGGTAACGAAATCAACCTAAATTAAAACATTTAGGTTATCTCCCACTGCCAACAGGGGCCACTTAACTGTGCTAAAATAAAAAAATTGACTTTGCTTGTAACAGATGGCAGGCCCCAATTGTGTTAGAATTGGGATTAAGTTTCCTCTGTGATTGACAGGGAAATGACTTCATGCCTGACTACGCCGGACAGACATCTATTTGTTGATGCAACAGTCACTCAGCACCTGAATATGTTTTCGTTTCTAGAGCAATTTCCTAAACAGAGAATATGAAAATGACTTTGCAGCCGCCCGAGGCCTGTGACTGACAGGCAGGAGACCTCCATGGAGAGACACTGTGATCACAGACTGAAAACCCGGCCATATTCATGTTTTGATCATTTACTGAGATTTTGTATTTGCGGCAACTTAAATGACCTTTTGAATATGACCTCTGTTGTTTCAATATTCCAAGCACAGACCAATTTGAATAAGTCGGGTCAGAATAACTGCAGTAATACAATGTCGCTGGGTTATCATGTAGTCATGTTTATGGATATGACTACTGCTCCCAATGGACCACTGTAGGGTATTTGTGGAAGCCTTTGACTTGGGCATTGTTTCCATTATGGGAGGGAAAAAAACACTTTACATGGCATGCTTTTAAAGCAAAGAAAATGTTGACACAATGCAAAATCCATTAGGCCAAACCAGTACAACCATAAACAAAAGAGAAAACCCAACACTAACAGTGCTCCTGAGTGCAAAAGAGAACGTTTTAGGATAAAGGAAGCATTCAATTTCCCTTTGAAGAATTATTTCCTACCCTGATACAGCCTATCCATTAACATTCAATAAAGCCACCGGCCCCTAAGCTATCAGATATAATGGTGTGTCTGCCGGGTTTGTTAAGGCTTTGGAAAGATTACCTGCATGAATCAGGTTCTGTCTCTGTTTGTTTGTTCATGTGTAAATCTTCTTTGTTCATGTTTTATTGCTGTCAAAACAAGGGATCATCCATCTGAAGAAAACTCACTACAAGGTCCACAAGAGCACCTTCTCCTCTTTGTTCAACTCAATATGAGCAACAAAACAAAACAAAAGGCAATATAACATACATTTAACAATGCCTTAGTATTCATATATCATTTGTTTAGATGTAAGTGTCATGAGCTTTGTTTTTGTGTAATGTTTCCCGTTTTATTTTGAAATGCATCATCTCGCTAATTCTAAGAGTTCTTTGTCCTGGTCCCCCTGATCTGGTGCTTCTTGTCAAGGTGCGTGTCCATGTCTCCTGTGTCGTGTTATCCTGTCCCACATTTCTAATGTGCTACTTTCCCTCTCTTTTACCTAGCCTGTCATTTGGATTTTTGTGTCCTGCCTTAGTTACCCCTCATGACAATATTCGCCCTGATCTCATTGTTTTTGTTACCATTTGCACACATCTATGCAGCTCCTAATTTGTCATAATTGTGAAAATGTGGCCGATAATAGCACATTTGGCTGTTGCCACTTATATCAAACCTATAAACTGAAGAATACTTCAGACACTACTTGAGTCGGCCAATCGCTAATTAATAGTTAGCAATAAAAAGGCGTCTGGCAGCTTGGAGTTTCTCACATATTGTTACCGGGGCAAGGCAGTAATTAAGGGGGGACATGGAGTATAATTAGGGAAATATGGATGATTAACATCTTCACCTTTCTGAAAAGACGTGATGAATGCAGAAACCTTTAGAGGGAAATAGAAGGATGTCTTGCTTTTACATAGAGTTAGAATGGTAGTGGTTTCAGCAAGACCAATGGACTTGACAATATACAACAAACTACAAAAAATGTGTTGCCCTTACATTATTGTAAGTACAAGATCAGGCATTATGGATTCAAACATTTTAAATTCTACTCAAATTAATGATTTGCACCACTTTGATTTTGCATTTCGCAAGTGCCAAGGTGTGAAGGGCAAATCCCGACAGAGGGTTTTTATTAACGCCTCCTAGAAGATGAATGCATATGCAGAGAGCTGCCTCAGCGGGGGTTTGAGAGATGGGTCGGGGGGATATGCGTGAGTGGGAACGCTCTGCCAGTCCCCCGGTGTGAGGTGGGATTGGGAAGGTGCTGAGCCCTTGCTCCCAGTAGAAACTTCACAGGATGGCAGATGATGCTAGCCGAGCAGAACAGAGGGTTTTGCTGTTCATCTGAATCCAGTCATGCTTATCAAGACAGGACTGAATGGGATTTAGTGAAGGGATAGAGAGGGATTGGTATCACAGTCAGTAAGCAGAAACCTTTCAAACACAGGTATTATACTGGTTATTGGTCTTTTAGGAGCCGGTACAAAATTGTCTAGCGATACTATTAATGCTATACCAACTGCTAAGTGAATATTTTGTTCCAAACAAGGTTGTCCTATAGGAATAAAACGGAAATAAATGTATATATTACCTGTTGTGAGCAGCACGTCATTACAGAGGCAGCTGAAGTCTACGGTCAATGTCTGGACTCGATATGCTCAATGACAGTGCAACTTTGCAATTCATAAGAATGGTGGAAGCACTTTGATCTTCATAATAAATCAATGCAGTTTTATTTAATTCCAAATAACCTGACACGAAAAAAAAACATCTTGGAAACATTTACGCGCAAAAGAAAACATATTATGTGGCCTTTCAGACAAATGTATTGATTGAAATGGGTAATGTATATTTGTCAAATCAAACACTGCCACCATGACACCAGTTATACTTTAAAAAAATTATGAGTTTCAGAATACATGTGCTGTGGGGACAGATTGGAAATGTAAAACCACTTATGCAAGTGTGAAATCCACTTACTTTCTGCAATAATAGATCTTCCTGTCCAGTCATCGTTTATCATCTGGATGTTCCCGAAATGGACATCGCTGAAAAAGATGCGGTTGGTCCGAGCTGCATTCTGACTGTAGTCAGAGGCCAGGGCTATGACATTCTTGAAGAAAGCAGGGTTTTCAAAAGGCTGGACAGGTGAGTTGAGGTCGTTTTCGTCTGAAAGGTGGATGCTTTTCAGTATGGTCCTCTCTGAGAACAGCAGATAACCTTCGTAGCGCTCACATGCAAAGCCGTCCTCGGCCAGGCGGCCATGGGCACAGGAGCACGTCCGCCGGCCACTACCGAGGTGGAAGCACAGCTGTTGGCAGCCTCCGTTACTACGAGCACAGGGGTTTGTGCCTGGAAAAAACAAACAAGATCATGTTCTATTAAAGGTCCCCTATTATACTGTTTTTCATGAATATATTATAGGTCTCAGATATATACAAAACATGTCTCTGAAGTGTTTGGCTCCAAATACCAAACATATTGTAGCATCCCATAAACCCCTCTGTTTCAGCCCTGTTTCAAGTCTGTTACTTTAGATGAAAATAAAATGCCACTCCCCACACCCCTCTGCAAGTTAAAAAGAACACAATGGTGCTCTAGGAGGATATTCAGGTGATAAGGTGGGAGCTGTTACCTTGGTTGGTTATTGGCTAATGGTTACACAAGCCAAAACAATCGTTATGACATCATAAAGTGGCCAAAATCTGATCAGCTCATTTTCAGACAGGTTTTTATATAAATGGATCAGGACAAAAAGAGAGAGAATCTTTTTTCCTGAAACGGTCAGAATCTCTGTACACAGAAGGGACACATGTTTATGTATAAAAGACATGAACAAGTGGATTTTGCATAGTAGGTGACCTTTAAAATGTACGAGACAGTTAACAATCACAGTTACAGTGCATTAGCAACACAATATTTTCAAAGTAGATAAAAAAAAGACTTTCATAGGCAAAAACTGCAACATTGTGAGTTCATTGTGTAAATCAATAAGACCTTCACCTTTTTCTCTGCCTCTATTAAAGACTGTCACATCCTTTAAATTGACCCCCAAACCACTCTTCATGGTCACAGCCTCGCTGGTGTCAGTCTTGAGGCCACGTCGGATAGAACCATTGGAGTGAGCCCTGAAAAACATCCGGAGATACGAGGGGAGGAAACATTCAGGGTTTTGGTTGAAATAATGAAGGCATACTGTAATCAGATTTGTATTAGGGCAGGGTAATTTAAATACTTTCATTGACATTCATAAAGCAAAATCAAAGACTGCAGTCACCCACATACAACTCTTGTTATGAAGTCTATTTAAATAGATGATTTATCTCAAGTCAAGAGGTTAAAGTCATCCACAACAGATGAACAAACACAAGAGACATGCAATTCATTATCCAACAACCTTTTTTTTTTGCCAATGGTTTAAAACCTGACTCAGTCAGCTTTAGATATCCAACAACGCTGTTCCGAAGAACCGCAAGCGTGTCAAAATACATAAAGCGACCAATTTGTATAAAGAGAAAAATGTCTTCATCAAGTTTAGCAGCATGCTTTAATTACACAGAATAATGAGGAAAGATTTCTCCCCGCTGATGTAACTGAATACTGAGTGTTTACAAAAACAGAGAGTACAACACCCCCACTATGAGAATCTACTCTTCTCTATCTTTTCACATGAGACCTTTAAAGACAAGGGTTATTGTCAGTTTAGTGTTTCAGGATTGCAGGCTATTGCATGTGTGTGTATTTATGAATATAATAAATTACCTGTCAGACCAGTAGATGTATGGCCCAAACACAGCCACTGAGAACAGGTCCACGTTGGCCACTGACAGTACAATCTCCCGGCTCTCACCTGTCTCAAGGTTGATCCTCTCGATCTTATCTGTGCGGGCGTCGCACCAGTATAATGTATTTTCCTGGAAGATTATTTGGAAATTCATATCACAAAGCAAACCTCCTAGGCATTTCAGCTACAAAAGAGATGAGGTAGGGGGTACAGTATATAGGAGAGGAGAGGCAGGGGAAGAGGTTGGTGATAGTGTTTGTGCAAATGTACCTCATAGTCAATGGAAATTCCGTTGGGCCACATGATGCCTGAGTTGACCAAGGTAACCTGGTCTGAACCGTCCAGGCGGGAGCGGCCGATGCAGGGGTTCTGGCCCCATTCAGTCCAGAAGAGATAGCTGGCGTGCATAGCAGCATACAATTATGAAGTAGTCTGTATAGTTGGCCTTTATTACCAATTTTGCAATGTTCCCTCCTATATATTTTGCTCAATAGTGGGACAACTAACCAAATTCATCTTAAGTTGATTAACAAACGTTCCAATTTCAGAATAACTATAATAATAACACATAATAAGGTAACAGTACATTGTGAGCACTGTAAATTATTGAAGAATAAAGACACATGCACAATAAATAGGGCTGCCAACATTAACAAGATACAACTAAATATTACAAAATTAAACTAGTAATTTTATAATTGACGCCACTAATGATAAAAAAAACTGCAATGCAGAAAATGCAAGGTTATTGCTTAACCAATCTTTTTTTTGTATTACAGCCAACAGACTTATTATTTATATGCCATTTTGGGAAAATATTGCCACATTGCTGATCTGCAAATATATCTGTTGGACTTTATTAAAAAAATAGTTTTCCAAAATAATGTTGTGCTTTTGGTTGTACATGTTGTGTATTCATCTCAATAAAAATGTGATCACAAAAAAAAAATGTTTTCCACTTAGCACGACTACTTAAAAGGACTAGACAAATGCAAAAGAATGTCTTATATATACGATAAAGGCTTTTTGAATAGAACTGTTAAAAGCTATGTTATTGAAATGGATATATGAAAATTATGAAAACGCAAAGAAAATATGGCCTACCCCTTCTGTGGATGTACTGCGATGGCTCTAGGCTGATCAAGTCCTTCAGATATAACCACTGAGCGGTATGCACCATTCAGGCGTGATATTTCTATTAGATTGAAACCATGGTCTGTCCAATACAGGTTTCCTGAGGAGAAAAAAAGCAATAACCAGGCGTAAATACAGCAGAAGGCTTAATATGTTCACAAGTTGAAGTCAAAACAAACACATCAGTGCCTATAAAGTGAGTATTTTCACCAATCAATACCAACTTGACAGCCCTTGGTAATAGACCCCGAGCGCCGGGGGAGTAGCGATACTAACCAGCGATCCAGTCGACAGCGATGCCCTCCACGCGGCTGATGCCTGTAGTGATGATGTCCTCCCTCCAGGTCTGATCACGTTTGGCCCGGGATATTCTGTTCAGGCCCATGTCTGTCCAGTACACAGTGTCATTGCCTGGAAAGCCGTACAATACAGTAAATGACCAGAGAAATGGAGACAATGAATATGGCTGCCACAAAAGTAGTTATGCACAAAAAAGTCTGCTCATGGCACCACTTTACACTGCAGCAGATCCCATTTCACCAAATGTAGCATGCGACCATAAAGTATGATTGTGTAAAAAAAACCACACAGTTCATCCACAGCTCTTTGTTAACTTACAGTGCCTGGGCACGGAAAAAGATTGTCAGCCAAAATGTACAGGGCAGTATATTGCTTCTGCAAAACATGGTGCCGGTTAAAACTATTATGGTCCCTTTGTGATTGTACAGCCCCATTAGATAAGCAAATTAAATAGTACGTAATTTATTTATGGATCGCAATCTTTCAAGTGCATCTTTCTGTGCATTCCTGTCAGCTTGGCTCTGTGTAGGTTGTTAGGAGGTGTTATATGTTTATTTGCACGTTCTTGTTCCTGCTGCCTTCACACTCTCCACACGCATACACATATATGAGAGCTGCAGGGCTTTCATCTGTTCTGCTCTGGCAGCCTGGCTTCTGTAATGACAAGTGAAGGGTGTGCATAAGCTATCAGCTGCTGCCTTCTGATGGGCTTCGTAATGCATTAGCATGTTGCACCTGCACTAAGTAATAACAGGGTGGACAAGTGGCAATCTTGTTCTTTAATTTTGAAAGACACAATTGTGCCTTTCACTCTGCTTAATTTGTCTTTTCCAAAAGCTGCGGCCTCACATCCAGATTACTATTGATATTTGAGGACTCTCAGAATCAGAATTAGATTTTGGTTTCTCTTGATAGTTATTGGATGACAGAATTACATCATATTGAGGAAAAAGGTCTCTAAGGATGTTCGTATTCCAGTAGAGCGCAGGGGGCTACTAATATGTAATTAGATTTGGCATGTACACCCCTTAGGGTTGACAAATAATGGCTACTGCAAATGTCTGCCATGACCTGACATTAATTATCTTATTCCCTAGCAGATCATTTGAATACCTACCAAGATGACTACAGCAATGCTCTGTGGGGTTGTAGTTAGGCTTTGCAGCGCTTTCAGCTGAACGCTAATGTCAGCATGCTAACATCATCACATGACAGTACTAGCATACTAATGTTTAGCGATTTGAATATTTACTATGCCCATGCTAACATTCTGGACTAATAAGCAATGGGCTTGTTACTTAGCTAATTAGCAAATGTGCAAATGACTAAAAAACAGAGCTGAGCTGGCAGCCATTTTCCATAACGTAAGTACAGTAGTAATGTAAATTATTGATTTTTAACTTGGGATGGCGATAGAAGCGGGAAAGTTTTAATTGGATGTACCACATCTCATAGCAGTATATCCAATCTCTGTTGAGGCATTTCAATAAAATACACAAATATAGACCTTTGGGCACGACAAATCAAAATCCAGGGGATCACCAAAGTCATTTAAATGCATCATCTGGGAAACACTAAATAATATGTGTAGTAGGTCTAGCTGTTGAGATATTTCAGTTATAAGGGTTAGAGCCCAATGTAGTATTTTTATTTACAGAGAGAATAATATAAATGCAATAATCTTTGTTGCATTAAAAGCAATATTTAATTATATTCTGGTATTCTTTTCTCCCTTCATTAGCTACCAGTTTGTACATAACAGTCACGTCCAAATCACATATGAGGTCTGTTGATCCCTGCCTCTACCACAGTTACTCTGTTGGGAATAACATATCAGTTTCAGCAGCCTATTGCATACATTAACACTTTCTAATCTCATTTTTTGCAAACATACAATGGAAAGTCATAGAATACATTTCGAATTACCCAGGCATTCATTTTTATCTGATGCTGCTTTCTTAAATAATTGCTTCGTATCCTTAGTATGTGAACCCTTGTGTGTATGTAGTTTGTTTCTGTTTTCAGTATGTAATTTCCTCTACACTGCTTTTGTTATCATGCTTCAGTGGCAACCTATTACAGATGTGGAACGCTACCAGCCTATTGTATATTCATAGCATTTGTTGGTGTGCTAAATCTATCATTTTTATCACGTATATAATATGAAAGGAAGCAGGGATGTAACAAATGACAATGCAGGCTACTAGGTCCATGTTTTGCGATGCACGTTACGGTACCTTTATTTGATACAATATCTTGGGAATTGCTTTGTATTAGGATTGTTTCCGAGGGTTGTGAGGAAATACTTATTCATGCTGAGGTTCCCCGGTAATGTGAACTTATTACTCTTTCATCTACGCTGCACTCCACACGCCCACAGACCATTATTCACAAGGTTCGGGCCCGGTATAACAAAGACCTTTCCCTCCCCCTTGTTTTAAGATTAAGGAGATGTTGCACTGTGGGAGGAAGGGAAGAGCAGTGTGTTGTGTAATAAAATGTAATGTAGCACCATCAGTAGCGGTGATGTTTCATGAGTGATACACTCACGTTACCAAAAATATATTTTTTTATAGCTGACATGGTACAAGTTGTTTTTCATTGTGTATAGTGAAGTATGCGTGGAAATGCTGATGGGGAGGAATAGTAACAATTGTCTCATCAATTATCTCTCCACTTGACATTATTAAGACCACTACAGAGCAGCTGGCCTGGAAAGGATTCCACTTTAGGGGGCCCATGTGCATGCCAACACAGATCTTTAACCTCATCACACAGCTGTGTAATGGTGTGTCTAGTCACTGTATTAACGGTGTTTCATATAAAGGTTTCTTCATTATTGCACTAAATTATGATTACAAATACAAATCTGCAATAAGATACACTGAACAAAAATATAAATGCAACACTTTTGTTTTTGCTCCCATTTTTCATGAGATGAACTCAAAGATCTAAAACATTTTCTACATACACAAAATAACCATTTCTCTCAAATATTGTTCAGAAATCTGAAAAAATCTGTGATAGTGAGCACTTCTCCTTTTCCGAGATAATCCATCCCACCTCACAGGTGTGGCATATCAAGATGCTGATTAGACAGCATGATTATTGCACAGGTGTGCCTTAGAATGGCCACAATAAAAGGTCACTCTGAAACATGCATTTTTGCTTTATTGGGGGGGTCTGGGGGGGTCCGAAAACCAGTCAGTATCTGGTGTGAGGGTTAGGATTAGGATTAGGGTTAGGGTTAGGGTATTGTTGTGAATCGAGTGGTCCATGGTGGTGGCGGGGTTATGGTATGGGCAGGCGTATGTTATGGACGATGAACACAGGCCAATAAAGCAAAAATGCATGTTTCAGAGTGACCTTTTATTGTGGCCAGCCTAAGGCACACCTGTGCAATAATCATGCTGTCTAATCAGCATCTTGATATGCCACACCTGTGAGGTGGGATGGATTATCTCGGAAAAGGAGAAGTGCTCACTATCACAGATTTTTTCAGATTTCTGAACAATATTTGAGAGAAATGGTTATTTTGTGTATGTAGAAAATGTTTTAGATCTTTGAGTTCATCTCATGAAAAATGGGAGCAAAAACAAAAGTGTTGCGTTTATATTTTTGTTCAGTGTATATACGTTTCCTCCTCTCAAAGGCACATTCGAGGTCTATTGCCTAACCCTAATGTCCATTCATAGACGTATGGTTATAGATTGAGGTATGGACATGCCCTTTTGAACAAATTGTCCTGGGTATGTACACAACATTTAAGAAGTCTTTCATTCCGAGCACCATCAATATTCTTAACTCAACAAAGAGACCTAGGTGATTTTAGCCACAAACATTGATGTGAACTGTTTAAATGTGTAATATGATCGATGTGTTTGTATTTTACCGCCTGCTTTTCTGCTTTTTGTCTCGGTGTTTCTTTGTTTTGCGAACCAGAAATAATACATTTTAACCCTAGTTGACAATACATGTTTGTTTAACAGAAGAGCAACACAACCCGCTTTTTTTTGCGGGTAAATCCAAGGTTATTGCAAAGGTAAGCCCACATAATAACTTTAAACAGCAGGAACACACAGTATACAAATGTAACCGTGTCCCAGACCAAAATACATATTCTTTAAGCTTCATTGGATCTCTTACAGTTTAAATCTGATACCAGCATCGAAAAGCTCTCAGTGTTGAATGATATCTGACCTGCATGAAAGTCAACTCCCACAGCAAACAGTGTTCCAGTAATGGGCATGAGGGCCTCGCTGTTGTCATTTGGCTCAAGAGCCATTCCCCGGATTCCCTCGTGGATGGAGTACATCAGAAATGAATCAACACCTAACACACAAGAAATTAAATTTAAAACACTAACCAAAATGTATGAAAGCATGGGAAAATAACAATACGATTATGTATATGCATTGAACAAAAGATAATTGTTTGACAAAAGAAGTGATGAAAGCAGATTTTACAGATGTATTGGAGCGCTACTAGAACACAGGTGTTGATGTCAATATGTTGTAAGTAAACAGAGGAGTCCAAATCAACCTTTTCAGGCAGGGAGAGAGACTCCCTCTGGCAAACATGTTGGGATTCAAGCCTTTACAGACAATTGACATGCACACAAACCTATAGAACACACTATAGGAAAGGGAAAACCCCCAGAAGCATAAAAAGGCCTCCCTAGAGATGTATGTAAAATATCAAGATGATATTGCCAGCTCTAGAGTGCATTATTAGCACGTTTTGGCTAACGTACCCTCACAAGACATACGGTCGCTACGCAAGTTGTAGCCAACAGTGCAGGAGCAGCTCCGGGTGTTCTCGGAAGTTGGGAAGCAGAGCTGTGAGCATCCTCCGTTGTTGATCTGGCACTGGTTTCTTCCTGGAAATAAAAATAAAAAACAGCACAATGGCAATAAATAAACTACCACAGATGAGAGATTGAGGGTATTGTGTGTGTTTGTGTTGTGAGCACGCTTACCTTTCTGACCCTCCCTGTCGTACACTTTCATATGAACAACCCCACTCGTCTTGTTTCTCAGGATCACAGGGTTGCGCCCGTCTCTCTTGGTTACCGTTCCCAGCTGTGCCGATTCCTCATCTGCCCACCAGAGTTTTCCTCCTGTAACCATAAAGGTTGTTTGTTGCAGATATAGAAAGCTATGGGCACAGGTTCAGTAAAGCAGCAATGTAAGGGCACATTCTGCAACATTTATGTCTTCTTTACTTGGAAATATATGCAAATCATGTTGTGATTAGAAAATACTACAGCACAATGAAATACCAATTCCTAGAGCAAACGGGTGCTTCAGCTTTCACTCTAATCTACCAGGGCTGGCACTCTTATGCCATACAACCCTTAATTCTCCAAGCTGAATTGAGATTAAAAACTGGGATCCCTTGTTCCCTGCTCTGAACACTGGCTTGTGATAAGGCTGGCATCTGGCAACCTTTTAACATTATTTACCTTGATGCTTGGAAAAAAAAGAAGAAAGTCTCTTAGATACATGATAATAATTTAAGGGGGGAGGTCACCATAATAGAGTGGTATTTGCAATGTCTACAAATACCATGCCAGCATAAAGACATTAATATTATTTATTTTCTATTTAATCTTTTTTTATTTTGTGAGACTTTTAATTTGAGCAACCAGTGCCTTTATTATGGAGACAGATTTGAAAAGGGGGAGACAGAGGGGATGCCATGCGTAAATGGCCCCCAGGTCTGAATAGAACTCGGTTGCCCCGCAGTAAGACTGAAGACCAGAACATGGGCATTGGTATCAAATATATATTTATGACTATTGTATGCACACAAAATAACTTGTAATCATTGAAATTGAGCAGATGCCACGTAGTGAGCATCAACAGCAATGAGTCTCAATCTAATTTGGTATTGATATTTCTGTATTTATAGAAAATGGAGAAATGTATTGCAATTCTGAGACAGGCAGACATGGTCTCATTGAATTTTTGACTTTATAACTTTAAGCTTCATGAGTTTTCTTCTTCAAGGACAAAGTGCTGTGGGGCCAATGCATCTGACGACATACACTGTAGTTGTTGTGCGTCATAATGTTTCACAGTCTCCTCCCTGACAGACTGGATAGCCTGTGTGACTGTGTGTGACAGTGAACCTGTAGGCTTAGTGCTGGCGTCGTGAACATAAATGATGAGTGTCTTTGTAAAAAACAGCCCATGCACAATAGGCTCCTGACCCCGTCACACCCAGCCACCACCGCACAACCCCCCTCCCCCCTCCATCTCTGTCCTCAGCAGGAATCAGTGATGCACTCTCCGGGCACTTTGCCACAGAATCTACAGACATGACAGGAAATCTCAAATCTCAAATCCCACTGAAGTGCAAAGTGCAGAAGAGCCGTGTGGCTGCTTGTGCTTCAAAATAGAAACCTCAAATGGGGGGATGGACCTGAGATAAGTCCTTTTTTGAAAGGGCCAAAATTACAAAAATGGAAGCATTACATAGAGTAGGCGTGTTTTAGAATAGGCAGCGTAATGGAAATGAAAAATCATATTTGTGAAGTACCATCAAAATTGGCCATTGTTAAGGATCATTTGAATGAAAAACATATTTTAGAAGCATGGCAACCCTCCACTGAGGATCTAGTGTGGTAGGAAGCTGCAGCCACATATGAAATGCCTTACAGGTAAATACAATTGCTTATGGTTTGTGCAGAATCAATCCCTCTGAGCAGTAATGTTGGTGCACACACAGTTGGGAGTTTATGAATCTCTTGTGCTATATTATATTACAGTACAGCTACAGTATACACAGAAGCAACCTTGTGTAGAAAAGCATACAATATGTTGTTATGAAAGTGTTACTTATTAAATGATTTGGCAACATGTTTTCTTTGAGAAAAACAACCAAAACATCCAATCCAATCCATTGTATTTCTATAGCACATTTAAAAACAACAGAGTTGAACAAAGTGCTGTACATCAACAACTGTATAAAAACATAGAATAAATACATAAAAAACAGACAGGAAATGAAACAAATGTAAAACACGAGACAATGAAACCAGATCAGAAGCCACAGACTGAGAAACTCCAACCCAGTCTAAAAAAAAAACGTGTAATAACTAAGTTGGTCCACAACTTGGGACGTAGTATTCCTACGAAAACGCCTCTGAAATTGTAAGATCCCTACGTTTTTTTTCACCATTCATTTCCAATGGCTGGCGTCTATGTCACGTGATCGTGAAAAAAAAACATGGCCGACCTTCGTTTTATTCTCGGTGGAAAATGCCTATTTTAAGGTTAGTTTGGCCATTAAAATGCGTTTTGATGTCATTTGATGCGAGAAATATGAGTTGTTATTTCAGATTATGTGTGCAGTGGATGCACATGATCTTTAGTTTGCTAGTTATTACGAAGATTACTTCAGGAAATTGTGTTCATTCAATGTTTTCATTGTTACCAAGGTGGTTGCTAGGGACGCTGCTATCGATATTATTTCTGTTATGTTGTGTTACTGTTTAAATGGTGTTATCTTTATTGCTACCCCCTTCCCCGTCAATGTATAATGTTGGTCCACAGCGCAAACGTATTAGTTTAACAAAATTTGCATCTAAAATTGTGGCATAGATACATTATTTTCCACTGTGCAATTCTCCAACCCAGTCTCACATCTCACATCACATTGTCATTAACAAATACCGGAAACAGACAGAATTATTTAAAAAAAATTAATAATAATACTTTATTCCGTGTGTGCTTACTTTTCTCTTTGAAAGTCATCACATAACGGCATTTTAATACACGGTTCGGCTGCATTAAATATTACATATCTGCCGTAGTTCTCTATTTNNCGCTTCACGTGCGCGACCCCCACATAAATCGGATCGAAATTTTTTGTACGTCTACTTACTTTAACGAGTCAAAGTTAAGAACGACTTCTAACAAAGGTTCGTTCACCTCGACGCGTGTATTTTCGACAGAATGGATTCTGTCAGGAACGAGAACCGTGTAGATTGTTATGATGTATTACGTTAGAGTCTGTTATCGACGAACGTTGAGAGACACGATAGTCTCTCGGTCTATATTATGCCCTCAAATGGGTTGTTTCGAAATATTTATTTTGCACATGGTTACTGACCTCCGGGAGAATGTCTTTCACTACCGTTTGGACGGAATCATAATATCCCATGTCGCTACTCATTCACGAAATTTAAACACTGTGTAGAGTCAGCGACACTATCCGCCGTAAGATTGTACAGGTCCGTTATCCGTCCAACGTAAGTACATATTGTTAGTGGTATCAGGTCGGGTCCATTTTTCCAGTGTCACTGATCGGAAAAGGACCGGAGTTCACTCTTTGTCCTGAACAAAGACTTTTTCTTTTGCATCAGATTGGGAGTCGAAAATTCGTCCAATAACTGTACTTCAAAGTTTTCATTCTGTTAGTAGGTTCGGTCTATGGATCCATAAATATTGTCCATTGGTGAGTTCATGAAGTTAGTCCTCTCTGCACTACATACTTTATGTATAAATAATGACACTGTGCAGTATACTTACTTTATTACTAACGGTCTTAACTCTGTCGTCTCACCTTCCACAAACCGCTAATCCGGGGCCAAACGTCCTAATGTAAGTCCTCCCCTTCTTGGCGAGGCTTCTTTGGGGGGCCCCAGTTCTGTGACCACCACCACTACCCTCTTCCTAATCGAACCAGGACATCCTCTGCCCTCCGCTCTCCCCACCTCCTCCCAACGCATAACAGTGGACCTTACTGTCGACTGTCCTCCCTTCTCGTCTATATTTCCCTAATCGCCCACGTTGCTATCCGAACACTCTTACCTCTCTCCTCACTAACCAATCGACCCCTCACTGGCGGGCGGCTACCAAACGGCTCGCTGCACCCGCACTGCGAGGGGGACCCAAGTTCCCATCAGCAAAAACATGTGGGTTTGCTATCCTGGCTCCAAAATGGTGGAATGAGCTCCCCATTGAAATCAGGACAGGACAAATACAGTACATCAGGCTCTATGAAACCTGATGTACTGTATATGATTCTGTTTTCTTCAAGGTTGTATCTTCCTGGTCGAATGTACTTATTGTAAGTCGCTTTGGATAAAAGCGTCAGCTAAATGCAATGTAATGTAATGTAAATGAAATGCTCGTTGATAATATGGGCACTTGTAAATGTCTATAACTATGTAAATGTATCCTGTAAATATAATGTATGATGTCCTTTATTGTTTTATGTTTCATGTGGAACCTACAGTATATGCTGCAGGTCTCCCTTGAAAAAGAGATCTATGATCTCAATGGGACCAATCTGATTAAATAAAGGTTTGAAATGAAATGAAATGAATGTTAATGCTGGACACAAGCAATTTTCACCCATTTATAGATGATATTTTTAAAATGAGATAATACCAATGTGTCATCCCATAAACCTCCAGGGGTATACACAGTTTGATACTATGGCAACTTCTAATTATGGGAAATATGAAAACGTCTTTTAAAACTACAAGTCCCAGTAGAGACGTGCCATAGAGAACATGTTGCGAAACACAATAGCCAGCATGTGTAGTTCTGGGGACGGGGCGGGGTGGACCCGTTCAAATCCAGTTTTGGACAGCCTACCGTGGTTCCATCCCATTTCAAGTGCGGTCAAAAGGGTTCACACATCACACACATACAGTACGTGCATCCCTTTAAGGTGAGGAACTGCTTTGTTAACTCCATTTTTTTTGATTTATTTAAAATAAAAATAAATCTACACAGGCAAACAATTCCCACTTGCATTAATAGCTTTGGGCTAAATGTCATTACAACAGGGGATGTCAAACTTATTTTCTCAAATCAGACACATTCCCATGAGCACAAATGACAGTATACATGCAGTTTACCAAACATTTGACCCTGGAGGGCATGCTAGCTTAGATTAGCTCTGCACCCTGTGTTAATTTGATGCCGTGGGGACCGCTGGCTAGCTGTGATTGCTCGCTTGTGGCACATCATATTCAATTTCCACCTCAACTGCTAGTTTGATTCCAGGCAAGTCAGGGCTGATGGATCACCCACACCTTTTTCTTTTTTTTTAAATAGAAGCCCTTACCTTTGCCTGAAGCCAATCCAATTGTAACAGAGCCCCGGGATCTGAGTGGATCGACCTTGTGTCACTAACAGTGCCTTCATTACGTCTTTTCACAGCCAGGCCGAAGCAATCTTCAAGACAATGCATGCAAAATAACACAAAAGCCAAAAGGAAATCCAAGCAAACCCATGTTTTTTTTTAACACAATGCCCATGAGACAAATTGTCAGTTCCATCAATTAGAGTGAAGCTCACAGTAAGGGTTACATTTATGGATGTATCCTGACAAAACCTTTACAGCAGCAGGTGATACTGTATTTTATTCTGCAGCAATCAGAGAGAAATTCATGGTTTGATTGTTCTCCACTCCACAGATATCACCTCACTAGAATAACCTCTTCCTCATCCACCATACAACTCAAACTGTCCTTGTCTATAAGTGAATTTGTTTTGGAATAATCACAAACCACTGTGACCACGTCGAACTTATTGATTGAGGTAAAAGCCAGAAGAGAGTCAAACCACTGGGGGCTAATTATTGTTGATTGCACAAGAGGTCTTAATTACCCATAATCACTTGCCAATACCTTCAAGTTATTTCCCTAGCACTGGTCGCATATGCATTCATCTGCATTATCCATGTTGTACTTTTCCATGAGGTATCTAATCGCAGTCTGGTGAGCGAGCAAGACAAATAAGACAGAAAGGGGAGACTTGGGAAACTTTTGAGTAAAGAGAGTGAATGTTCAGCAAATGCACTTAATTGCATCTTTCACCATGGAGACAAAACAACAACGTCTGCAAGAAGGGACTTTACTCTGTAATGGGCATCAGCAATAGTCTATGCGCTTGTCAACTAAAGGAGCTTGAGATGGGAAAATGGCATGTCTGCCTTCTGCCCTGCTGTCTCCCCCGTTCTCATTTTTCAGCTGACCCTATACATTTCACAAGTATATAATGGTCTACAGCAGGAGTATTGAAAGTGTGGGAAGGTGAGCCTCCCCTCAGAGAACATAAGAACAGCCGCGCCCCCCCTCCCAATTATTATTGCTATTATTATTATTAATATTATTATTGTTGTTGTTGCTATAATGCAGGGGTATTATTATCCAGTGGAAAGTCCTTACCTACTGGCCTAGTTAAATCAAACTGGTTACTTTTTTTTGGCTGGGTAGTGTAGTTTTACACACCGTCTTATTTGACTTTCGCAGGACTTAAAACAGTTTTTTGGGGGGCAGACCCAAACAAAGAAAAAAAATATATTTACACACGTAAGGTCATCATCTTTACAGTTTTTTATGCTCATCGAGTCATCCGTGAGCAGAGCATCAAGTTGGCATGCCTATCACAGCTGAATGCGGCGATTACCATGTGGAAATTAAAATGTGCGCTTTACTCAGGTACAGTATTTATAGAAAACGTTCATGTTGTAGTGTTTAATTGGTACAATATGTTTGAAATCCATGTGAATAAATGCACATACAGTAGTGCACAGTGATGTTGTAACACTCAAGGCTTCAAGTGTCAGAACAATTATATTTTAATGTGTTATTGACCACTTACAGTAGATTGACATAAAACACTTAATATCTGAATGTACAGTGGTAGAATGTAACTAAGCACATTTAGTCAAGTATTGTATTTAAGTACTGTGTTGACATACTTGTACTATACAATTTACTGTTTCCATTTAATGCTTTTAATGTTTCTACTCACAAGGTCAATACTGCACTTCTTTACTGGACTACTTTTTGGGATAAAGAAAAAGAAGACTATGCTTTATACGATTGTATGCAGTAATGGACCACAATCGAACCAGTATTTAAATACAACTACAATTGGCTTTTGGTTTGTATTTTGTGCCCTTATCGTGTACATGCTGTTCAAAAAGCTCTTTATTTTCTCATACTGCCTGTACTGCAGCACCTCTTTTCACCCTCTGTCTGAAACCAGAGCCCAGTGTGTTCTGATTGGTTGAATGGACAGCTCTGTTGTGATTGATCAATCGCTTAGAGAGGTCCCACCCCTTAGCTTTTCCGGAACAATGTGTTCTAGTGTTACTATTGAATAGTGATGTCATTATGTAATGAAAGTAAACAAAGGCGTCCAAGGACCCCAAAAAGCATAACAGGGCCTCTTTAAGACAAACTGCAACAATACAATATTATGACATGTATTTGTGGTGATAAAAACAGAAAAATATTAATATATTTGAAGGCACTATGAAAAGAGCTGTATACTGAGTACTTTCACTCTTAATACTTTAATTACTTTTGCTGATAATACTGCTCTAGTTTTACTAAATTAACAATTCAGTAATTTTTACCGCAACATAATAGACATTCCACAATTATTCTATGCCTATTTGGAAAGAATAAAAGCAATTCATATCTCATTAAAAGAGGTCATCTTAGCATTAAATACACTTTCATGCCTGCATGAATCCAAATGTAAATGTACAAGTCAACCAGATTGCTACTTTCTCTACATTGAAATTCATCATATGATAAATCTGCAATGGAATTTCTCTATTTAACAGAGTATTATAACAATACAGTTACAGTGCTGTTCATTCTACTATTCGAAACAATTTCCTCAACATAACAAAAATGTCATTAATTTTGATTGATGGAGACTCGCTAAAATCGTTTCACTGTTTTGCTGTACCTGCTACAGTGCAGGAAGACAGCCATTACTCTATGTCACCTCCGGTTTTATCTTCCATTTGTGAAACGCAATAATGAAGTCTCCATCTACCAAGAAACAGTCCTCCATAGTCAAAGTATGTACTGTAAAAAGCCACAAATATGAGGCTGGGAGCTGCAGAAGGCTGAATCTAACAAAGCATTGGGACTCCATTCTGCCACAGCTGTGTTAGTGTGGTGTTTACGCTCTCAGCACATGCCGACAGATACCCAGAACACATGAAACGAAGGCCAGCCACGATCAATAACAAGCTTCAAAAAACACAAAGTATCACCCTGACAACACTAATTGTATTTCTTTCCTTAAAAAAAAGAAAGTGCACTTCCAGTCCAGACGCACACACACACACACACACACACACACCAACACCCACACACAAATTACACTTACACATCTAACGGCACTGTTCAATATGTTTGCTCCCTCCTCATTACCAATCTTGGCAAGAAGAGTGCATTTGCATAACTCGCTGGGACCCTTCCCAATTGTCGAGATTACAGCAGTGTGAGACAATTTAAAATTATAATACTGATCTTTGAGGGAAGAAATAAGAAGCGGCAATGAATTTAATTTTATTTGTCACTGATTTGAAGTGTACAGGTACAGGCCAAATAACTCTGGTTAATATAAAACCAATAACGGTTGATGTATCGCTTTGCACTCGGTATTACGCTTACTCTTTAGTGTGTAATGACTGAACAGGTATATGTCCTGGTTACCAATGACAAATGGTGATAATTGGAATCTTTTATTTTCAAAGAAAATCTGAAAAAAGTGGGGAAAAAATAGCCAAAGGGGAAGACTGCCACACTTACACATATGGCTTGTTTCCAGAACATGTTGACTTCGATTTCAGGAGATTACTAAATTAACCTGCGAGTTGATGGATGATGTGACGCATCGGATTCAGCACGGATACCCAGAATAAACACATAATGAACATCCCCCTCCCTTTTCATTACAAAAGGGGGTGAGAAAATCAATCGTATATCACTGCTGCACTGTGTTTTAATTATCTGTGGCCCCGTGGTACTTCACACAAAGTGAAGCACAACTGTTGCGAGGGGCCGGCTAAATAGCCCCATCCTCCAGCCACTTAACTGGTTAAACGCGTAATCCCTGCACACTCCCTGACTAATCCCTAATGGCAATCTGATGCACTCGTGACAAGCTCCACTCACCCATCACAGCCAGAGCGGTGCCTTTGGATAACTCCCTCTTTAGAGTCTCCAGCACTTCCAGCCCATTGCCGTCCAGATTGCACCTGTTGATAGTGCCATTGGTCGAGCTTATCCAGTACAGCTTGTTGGCAGTGTAGTCTATTGAGAGACCTGAGGGGACAAGTGAAGAGAGGACGCCAGGTTAGCACTCGTTTCGCTAGGATTCCCTAAAAAGACAAGCAAAAATGTATCGAAGTCATTCAAAATAGGAGTAATAACAAGCTAAATCATGAAAAAGCAAATAAGCTGTAAAAAAAGAGTAGATAAGCATACATGTGACATTTTTTAATGGGAAAAATGTATCATTTGAGACATTTCACTGAACAAAGAACATTATTACTTGGAAATAAAAAGCTGACTCAACCATCCTTTGTACTGTAATGAGTTGCACCATATGGGGAAATGACTATATTCAGGTTACTCTGACTACATTTAATATGCAGCCCACAATAATTCTCCTATTACTTCAACAGTATTGCAACAGCACATGACAGAGCTGCATTTCCTCAACAGCTCTATGTATTTGGTTAAATAAAAGTACGCTAATAGAAAGCTTTATGGGTCCACTGGAACATACAGTATGTGTGGGGATCTGTTTATACGAGCTCCAGCTGGCATGAAAAATGAACAATAGTGAGACTGACTACTTTTAAATCTATTTCCTGGCCAACTGGATGGCTCTTTTTAGAATACCGCTGTAAACGATGAACAAATGAAGGCAATTTCAGTTGTGGACCCCTGGACAACTCACTGTCTCCCACCATGTGTTGGATTTATGTCTGGCAGATTCACAGTCACAATGCGTCATTAATTTACGCTTGTCCCCAGGTCTACCCCATAATCATAAACGAAGCCAGTGAAATATGGACGCGCCCTGCTATCTGTATTGCTGACAAGCCGGGGAGAATGAAGAAATACAGGGAAGACAATGGCGCAGTTTGTTTGACAAAGTGGGAGTTTAACCTTGAGCTTTGTGACAACAGCCACTTGAAATGAGGAGCAGCTGATTGTTTTTGCTAAATCGAGCAGCTATGGCTCACTTAGGCATGCATCATGGGGTATAGAGTTAACACGCAAGAAGTAAGAAAGTATAATGATAGAAATGTAATTCTTATGAGCATGAGTCCTAAAAACTGTAACACACCTTGCAGTCCCCTGGTCTCGAAATCAATGTTTTTTTAAAGCCTGATATAAGTTCTATGCTTAACTCAAGCTGAAAAGATTGGCAGGTTTTGATCTCCGACATAAAATATGACACTAAATACGCCACTTGTGAATGTCCGAAGCTTCTTTCTGCCAAAAAAAAGCTAGTTGCTAATACATTACATTACATGTCACTTGTAATGTAATAGACGCTTTTCTCCAAAGCGACTTACATACTCAATACTGTGGGCAATCCCCACAGGAGCAATTTGGGACAAAGTGTCTTGCCCAGGGACATGCTGACTGTAGTGGGGTTTGAACCTGTGACCCTCTGAACCGAAACACCAACGCACAACCCACTGCACCACATGCCTGTGACTAAATGAAACGAGCTCCTGCCACCCGTCATTCTGCTTATAAATATGGTGATAGTGCTCAGTAGAAAATCAATGTTTTGTATGTTAGGTGAGATTAATACTGTATGTACAAATATAACAATCATATCATCAAAAAGGACTACATTTCCTCACTACGGCATACAATTCTCTATATCTACCCTTTTTTCCGAGAATATTCTCAAATAGGGATGCTGGTGGCAGGCCCCCAAAACTCAATGATACATCAAGATAGAAAATCTTACATTCCAGCACTTTCCTGTCCTGGCAGTGCATCACAGCAGAGAACATCCACTGCCCCTGCTCAATGATTCCTCTCCAGTACCACACTCCTTCATATTTCTGACTGTTTAGACAGCCGGCTGATTCTACTGCTCAGCTGCTTTTTGTGAACAATTATCCTTAGCAATGTCCTCCTGGTTAGATTTATACTGCAATATGGTTTTACAAAAGGTGCTTTCTCTTCTTTGAATACAGGGTATTATAACCGGCCACACACTTACTGTACTGTTTTTTGAGAGGATTGTACAATAAGTGAAAGATCTAATCCAGAGAGAACTGGATTTTCAGATATGGATTGTTTGGATTTCTTTGCTTTTTTAGCCTTTTTGGCTTGAGTATCACAGATGAGTACAAATGGCTTGAGTCTGCTGTGTGCTCGAAAAAAAGAAATCCTTTCAGAAGAAGTGCCCCCTTCAGGTTCTATTTGCACATATGTCACTTCAAACGACACAAACAACAGCACCTCCACGTCCATATTTGTGGGAGCCTTTAAAAAATGATCCAACAGTCAGAGAGTGAGACAAAATTGTTGGTGATAGAAGGGGTGGGGNGGGTGTTGAGCATTGCTGTAGAGATGTGCAGCTATTCAATCTCAACAATGCACAATAGGTGAAGCGGAACATAAGAAGTCATCATGCAACGTGGAAGGCAGGCCTTTGGTAGATGGAAGTGGGATACAACGGGCATGAGCAATATGCAGTTCAAAGTAGAGTCATTAACATTACAAAGCAATTTTGGTGTCCAGCCACCAATTTTGAAAATGACAGTGTGCCCTGTTGGATCTTTTCTGTCTATACCTGCAGACAAATATCTTGACGAGAATATACTGTAAAGCAAACCAGGATCTTCGTAGCTTTCTTGTTCGCCCAAGTTATATACTTTCCATCGTGACGATCGTTTATGTTAGAGTACAAGGTTAGTCCAGGACTGGTTCATGTATCATTGATGCTAAATTGCACCATTTATATCCATAACATTAACTCCAATGGGAAGAAACATATTGTACAGAAGCCATAAGAGCATCCGTAGAAAAGAACCGTCCAATCGTTAACCTTGGCAGCCTGATGTATGTCTGTAGGCATTAAAACAAGAAAAGAAGTAACACAAATGTTGTTGTTTTTTTGTTGAAAACCGATTAAAAAGTATTAGGGAATCAATAAGTCAAGGGCGGAGGTGTAGGCTGGAAAGATTGTTCCTCCAGTTCAGCCCTATGTTTGTGTAGGTTTGAAAGAAATAGCCAATCTGACCCCTTGACCCAAATATCCAACTGATCTATTTGTGTTACTTTCCTGTTAAGATAGCATCACAAAGGCGGTGGGTGTTGAAGAGCATCTCAACATAAACAAATATTACTGATTGAATTTGAAATCCCTGCACATGCATTGAAATAAATTGATTATAAACAGATTAATGCGAACTGAAATTACCTAAACGTTCATGTAAAAACCTTTATCGGGTTATCTTCGCAAATTCAAGGTTCAAATAGGGGGAATTATATCGAATTAATTTGGAAGGAAGTGAACATGGATGCAAAGTGGTGCAAGCGGCAGCACAGATGTTGATGCTGGAAAATGTAATTGAATTATATTACCATAAATTGAACCCATAATCAATTAACGCAGACACATTTCTTCAATTTATGTAGCCCAAAAAACAAACAAATGCACTTAGATTATAGAGTGAATGTAAAATATTACGTTTATGTAAACTGAACAGAGAGATGGGGGAAAAAAAAGTATATTTGCAAATAAAAAGAAATAATCTTCATGGCTTGGTCACCTTTGAGGAAAGAGCATTTTCCCACCTCAAAATCACTCGTAGTTAATGGCTTTTCCAACGTGTTGTTGGTCAGAGGCCTCAAATAAGGTATGTGGTTATCACAAGCTGTAGATAATTGTACCCTTGTTCTACAACAATGAACAACGTCAGTGCACCAGTCATGAATGCACGGAGCATCAATGTGTCCAAACATGCTAACTCAGTGTGCCATCTAAAGCCTTCATACTGACCTACAGGATCCCTTTGATTCTGGTGGAGGACCTTGCTGTTACTCCCGTCCATGTTGGCAATGTTAACGGTGTTGCCATCTGTCCAATAGATTTTTCTGTGTGGGAAAGATGTGAGGTGAATAGTGCGTTATCCAGTCAGGCAGAATACATAATAAGGTTTAAAACATAGTCAATGATTACTACGTTGTTATTATTTGAACCATGAATGTAAGCCAATAGACTTTGTTCCACCGGACAACCTTGTAGAAATGTTTGAACCCTAGATTTATTTTTACAACAACAAGGCTTTGATCCCTAGCACAGGTGAGGTCTGTAGTGAAGTTTCCTAACACTATGCATTGAAGGTGATGCACTGATGGAGTGTACACACTGCTCTAATCTACTTACCCCTTGGCGGGGTGCACTACAAGGCACCTTGGCTTATCAATGCCGTGGATGATGGAGGTCTTCAGGGAGCCATCAAAGCGGGCCACATTGATTTGTGACTCGTCATTTTCGGAGCTGAGCCAGTATAAGTTCCTGGAAAGCCAGTCTAAAGCCAGACCACGGCAGTTGGCTATGTCTGTCAAGGAGAGAATGGAAAAACTGTCACTCCTTAGTGAAACTATAATGTAAATTAGCTCAGGCTAGATTTAACATAAACAAAATAAAGGAATGGACGGTATTCAACAATGTAATACATTTTTACTTGTGTTATGCCTTGTAATCATGTCAAAAGAAGAAAAAAAATATAATGATAGAAATGTAATTCTTATGAGCATGTAGAGTGGTGCAGTAATGAGTCCTCAAGACTGGATCATACTTTGCATTTAACCAGTTCCGGTTCCCTTGACTCAAAATCAATGGTTTTTTGAAGCCTGAAATATGTCATGTGGTTAACCCAAGCGGAATAGATTGGCAGGTTTTGATCTTCGACACAAATATGGCAGTAAATACTCCACTCGTGAATGTCCGAAGCTTCTTTGTGCCAAAAGAAACCGCCTCAAGCTCAGCGGTGGTGATGTACAGCCTCGCGACCACGACCATGATATAGTTTGTTTATAGCATTACACTTTATTTCCTGCCAATCACATTTATCCTTCAAAAATCATGTTGTTGTGTAAATGTTATATACCCTGCTGAATAATACGTGTTAAGTATCATAACCAAACGTTTGCCAGAGATCTTATTTTCTTCCATATAAGGAAAACCTATGGCGAAATCCCATTGCTTTTTGTCGAGGGGGACTTTGCGATGCAAACTTCCTGGTCTGGCCTACAAAAATGTAGAAACCTATTCAATAAAGTTAGTAACCGACACAGAAACAAACAATCAAAACAGGATTGAATTCCACTGCTGCAGAGAGATTATGTGTCAGCAAACCTATCCATAGTAGTTATTATACTGAACATTGTAATACATACCACATGCAAGCTTAGATGTTGTACTCAGTATGGATGTCTGGGATACACCAACCTGCATTTATGATGGTTTCCAGCTGGGTGCCATTGATGAAGGCCCGTTTGATGCTCTGGGTTTTGATGTCAGCCCAGTAGATCCTCTCCTCCTGGGCATCATAGTCCACCACGGTGACATCATCTATGTCCGGCACCGTTAGCGCTGTCATGACGTTCATATACGGGTTGTCTATGTCCACGCCGCGGATTTCAGACCGCCGGACGTACAGGAGGAACCTTTTCAACGCTGGTGAGATCATTAATAAAGGAATTATTCAAGATTTTTTTTGAGACTTTGCCAAAATGCTCTGTCAGACTCGGTATAGAGGGTGATAATAATAACCATATGTATGTAAAAGCTTACCTCAATCAAAAGCAACTTCACATGTTCTCTATAGTGTCCTATGGTTATGCTCTGATTACATAAGGAGAAAGCATGAAAAATGAGGAAGGTGTTCTGGCTCACCAAAGCAGGATTGTTTGTTGGGAGAAAGCTTCATCAGGTGTGGACAGGTGCAGGACGCAGTGCGGTTGTAATTGATGAGACACAGATGCGAACAGGGACCACTTCCATCATTCTCCTCACATGGGTTGGAGGCTGATGGGAAGGCAAGAGAAAAGGAACACTTCAGAACGATCAGCATGACAAGTTGAGATGCCAATCGAGGAGATACGCCATGATAAATCCTGGAATTGAATAGGGCTTGATCCTTTCCCACATCAAACTTACAAACAATACTTTCAGAAAAAAATCATTGCTGAAAATATCTATACAGTAGTCATGATCTGGTTCTCACCGTGCAATAGCAAAAATAGCTTTTAGCGTGACACTTCACTAAACCATGTCATCAATTCATAACAAGTGTGGCTAGTTTGAACATTTCAGGGGGCTCCTTTTTGAGTGTTAAGAGAAAATGTTGGGTTGGGACCATTTTTTGCTGAGATTGATTGACTTTCCTTCTTGTTATTGGGTTTTTAGGTTGATATCTTGTTGAATTGGGCCTTTAGTTTTCGAGACATTGACATATATTAGTACAAATAAAAGACATATTCAGATTTGTATTCTTTGTCACTTCTCAAGAAAGATCTCAGTTAGACTGTTACTGTAGGGTAGCAGGTTATCCATCTTAAGAACCTTAGTTGTTGACAGATTCTATAATAAGCAAAGCACATTAGAATAAGTCAATTTTAAGAATTTCTTACTCTAAACTAGTCAGAATAAATCACCTCAGCAAAACTAAGGTAAGTCAAGCTTGGTTAAACTATTTCCCATGAGGCTGCAAACTCTTTTTAGGCCTCAAACACATCAGTTCTCACCATCGACTCTGGATGATTCATGTCAAACAAGCTCATTCAAAAGCTAATTTCCCGTAGTTCCTTCAGCAACACATTGGAGAACCCCATTGCATCACAAATGCAGCTTATTGAAGACGACAACAAATCCAACTATCTCTCGAGCTGGCAACAGCACCCAGCTGACTCAGTATGCTAATAGGGAGAAAACTGAACAATGCTGCATTCACCTGAATCATACTCTTAATGGATGACAGACAGCAACAAGAGAGCCAGAGTGTTTGTTTGCTCTAAACTGTCATATGTATTTGCAACACATAACGGAAGAAATGTTAAGCCACTGAAAATGACAGAACTCCTGAAAAAAAGTCAAATTCAAGGAAGCTTTGTATTGCTGATACAATTGCTTCTTTTCAATGAGAGATGCATATTTGTTTTTTGTAATACTGCTGATAAAATTACTATGTGGTCTGTCTGCCTGCAAATAACTATGTATCTGCTACATGGCATACAAATTACAATGCTTACAGTCACATTGAGAATAACAACATTGATGTGTGTAAAAACATAAAACTAGATGTTCCTGCACTATGCTTCTTTTCTCCCTAAATACCTTAAAGAAACAGGTAAACAAGGAGAAGCAGGAGAGAATTATGAAGGCTATGGAAGGCTAAGCCATCCCTATGTTATTGGTCGCTATACTGTCGTGAATTAGACAATACAATTTCCAGATGTTCGCTAAATGTTTAATATTCAAGCTGCTGATACGATATTGTTAAGACCAGTAACTCTGAATACCAGCCTGTAATATAGGGCTCTGCTTAAAAGCTACAATGGTAGCATTTAAGTATTTAAGCTACCGTTGTAGCCTTTAAGCTAACATTAGAATGTTGTTTTTTGGTAGCTATTAGTTGTAATTTGTTGGGTCGAAATTAATTTAACCAACCCTAACCAGGATCAAGGACAGTATAAACTAGTACAATTACTAGGTATATTGAAGACTCTATCGTGCCAATATACAGTAGGCCTATAGAGAAGATGTCACGCCACTCAATAGAGTGTACCAAACCCAACAGCGGAAAAGATAAATGAGTGGAGCCATTATTGACTGTAGTCGGAAGTGTTATTATGTTATCTCATTAGTCAAAATCTCTGAAAATGTAATTACTTTTATTTTAGTTTGTTTATAAAAAGGTGTAAAAAGGTATACAGGTTTCTTTGTGATTCTCTGTAAGGAATCAGCAAATGATCTGTTCCAACTGTCATCACCTTGCACCGCCAAAGTGCCTCCTAATTTCAAAAGGCTTGTTAGCCAATGTAAAAACACAGCCTTGTCTTTCAAGTGACACGTAATGCATTTACAGGCTGTTTATGCCTCCAGTGGAGCTTCACTGTGGTACCTGCTGAATAACTAAAACCAGCTGCGTATTGGTGTCTCCTTTCTTCACGCATCCCTCCTTTTTTCTTTTTCTCTGGTCCAGATGTTTTGTGGTCTAGTAGAGCGTAGCATTTCTAGGCAGTAGTCTCACCGCCCCCCCCGCTGAGCTCTTTTTAATAGGATTAGGCATGCTGACTGTCTTCTTTTGAAAAAGCAGTCTTATTTGCTCACACTTATCTATGGTGAACAGTCATGAAAACGCAGATACAGGAAGGAAACAAGCTAATTAACTCATGACATACTGGCAAAGCAGAGAAATCACTGAATAGATGCAAACCCGATTACCACCGTAATAATGCCCATTTAAGGATGATGGTTGAAATATGAAGAAAAGCAAAGGCGGATAAATAGAAAACTTGGCAATGCTGGAAAAAGGAATTGCAATTGATCTATCAAACAGGCACTCTTGGCACTCATGGTGGAAATGTTAATCAAGTGTACTTGTGGAAGTTATGCTAATAAAATCTATCACAAATCAATGTTAAAACAACAATTTTACCGAAAAAACACATTACATTTAGTACGGAACAGATTTAATGTCATTCGTTTGAGTTAAGTAATATATCTTGCAAGCGGATCTGCATATCAAGTGAATATTGGCTTCTTTTGTAGGTTTCCTGCTTAATTGATTGCCTCAGTGACATAAATAGATTCAGAAGTACTGGCGATATTAGTGAAGTTTCTGAACTAATTCATATATTTCCTGTAACATAAACACATTATTCACTTTAATTTATTTGATGATTGGATATGCCACAATTATTCATTGGCATATTTGTGTCTTATTTGGTTGCCCACTTTTTTTCATGAAGAACAAGCCTTAATATAGTGGCATAAGCCAATTAGAATAATAGGGATGGTGAGAAAAACACATTCAGAGGTACCATTAACTCAAGCTAGCTAATTATCTGCCTGAGTACCTTTTTCATGCAGACACATGCTCATTGATTGACAGGCAAAATTAAGGCAGGGGCAGAAGCTGGAATTAATTACATTATGCTGGGTTTTTTTCACTACCCTTTGCGCAACATGAGAATGAATAGTGTTTTAAAAGATAATGCATCCTCATTCATATCCAGTATTACTAGAGGATTATACCCACATTCATAATACACACCCATAGGTTGATATCTGATAGGATGTGATGATTTAGCACTTTAAACAGCTTATTAAGCACTTTTTTGTGCATGAGCTCAAGCTATGACATATCCAAATTGATTTTTTTTCTTTTGTTCCTGAACCTTTTTAATTGCTGCTTTAATCATTGTCTCTTTGGAAAAGTAATTAATTAGAAATTACAATTAGAAGGAGTTATTTATCTAAATGAGTCTGAGCAACATTTGTAAACATGTACGGCGGCCAAGACATGCGCAGCATTTAGAAAACATTCACCAACTTGACGAAATATGCGCATTGTTTAATGAAAGCGGCCCATTAATGAAAACAATTCAAACACAAAATGTTGCGAATGAAAAATGAAGCTCAAGAAACGAAAAGAGGGACACTTAAAAGTGGTGCACACAGCTTGGATACGAGCGTTTGTTGATGTTCGGGATTATGAAGTTGGCAAAAGTCACTGTCACTGGAAATGTACTTAGAGTTTAGGTTTTATTGGCTTATTTTAACAATGTGCTCGCATGATTCCTTCCGATATTATTGGAGATCTGCTGTAAGCTAGCTAGCTAACCTAGTTTTTCAAATATACTGCCAAAAGACTTAATATTTTGAAAAATACTAACTCTGCGAGAGTTTCAGTTGACAGTTGGTTTCTTCATTTGCATGTGTTTTAGCACATTTGTGTTACTATATTCATTACTATATAGTTTTCTACCCACTTCTGTTACAAAAACATTGTTGTAGAATATTTAAAACAAAGGTGTATACAAACAAAACAAAACTACTTATGAGGCTTTGAGCTTTCAAATAAATTATAATCAAACTAGCTGCCATAAATAAGGTGACAAAAAAATCCTTCAAAGCCTGTATGCAAGGCAGTTGTTAAGGAGCTAAATATCCCTGCTTCGCATATCCTAGAAGTAAAAACATGACAAAGTATACATTAACCTGACTTCCAGCTGTGAAATGTCCCCCTTCCATCAAAGGGTCCTCACCTTGTGGCTGCCTGCTGGGGTGGAAGATCTGCAAGTCAAAAGGCTGAGCGCTTGTCTTCTGGATGACTGTGACATTTCCCCCCGTCCACTTATTGGCTCTCGCCAAAGTGTTCGTCCTCCAGTCGGTCCAGTAGACACTGCCTCCAAAAAGAGACACCGCAAAGGGATGGGACAGGTACTCATGGCCCCTGAGGATCTCTATGACCCCACTTCCATCATAGAGTGCAGAGAAAATGGCGTCGGAGCTGTTTAAACGAGCAAACATACAGGCTCATATCAACGTTTAACTGCTCTTCAAATTCATTAGAGGGGGACAGTAGAGGTAGGCAGATCAAAGTGTAACCCACCAGTCCACTGATGGAACTTTTAAATAGTTCAGAACCCACTTTTGTACATTGTGCTAGGATCTCTAAATATTACCTCCAAATATTTACTCCATTATTAAATGCAAAAGGAGAGCTTTGAGTAATTTTTCTATGCAAGGACTGGTGAATCTGTTGTAGTATATAATGTCATACATTTGTATTGGAAGCTCTAAAAGGTGTGAATGCTTCAACACAACGTGGGAAATCTAATGGTATACCGTGCATCCGTCCAAACAATCCTCTTTTCCAAATGATCCAGTGTCAGTCCATTAGGCCAGGCACCGATTTCCATATCCTTGAAGACGATGTGTCGACCTTCTCCGCTCATTGACGCAGCCTCGATTCGAGGGAAGGTAGCATCCCAGTCGGTCCAGAAGAGGATCCTGGAAGTAGAAAAGGAAACACTTAAAATGTATCGTTAGACGATCAACAATACACACATACAGTATTGTATGCTTTCATTGATCCAGTGGAACAGGATGTTAAGCCTCATTATTATCCATAGAGCAATTCCTCCCCTGTTTGTTTTTGTCAATGCTAGTAAAACACAACATATACAATGCTGGTGTAACTGTATGCATAAACATAGACTGTGGCAATGATGACTGTCCAAGAACAGCACCAGCGATCCAGTTCAACCCCTCAACATCTGCGATATGACTTGAAATGGGAGGCCATCTGTTTTATTATGACTTTTCACAGCTCAATGAGGCCTGAAAATGAACATTGATGGGCACTATCCTGAGACCTGCTTCAGCTCAGCAGCAACGCGTCTGTCTTGCCTTGGTCTACAAAGTCAGCCAGAATGAAGCAGAAAATGGGTGCTCAGGCTTAAATGACATACCGACGACAACGGAACAGTGTTAGGAAGAAATATCCTTGTCTAGATCAATAGCCTTATTCACTTGATACGGCCTTCCTGATCAATGGCCCACTCCTCTGAGTGGATCCAAGTAATTAGATTAGAATTATTGCCCTGGAATGGAAATGCGCCTTTAGGCACCAAAAGCAGCCATTAATCCTACTCTGTACAGCCATGAGATGTAGTCATCCTCAGGAATGTAAAAGAGTACTATAGGGGGGAGTGCATGAGAATATTACTAATTTCTTAAGAGTGTGAAATTGATTTTAAGGGATGTCTGGATTTTGCCTTAATCTGACATATACTCAGCCCACAGTTTACGACCACTGGCTACTAAATGCATTAAAAATGTGAAATCATGAAATACTAACAAAACACCTATTTTGTAGCAGAACATTTTCTTTTCTTTATTGTTGTGTAATTAACTAGCTTAAATCATCTCTAAACTAAATATAATATTCTGTAGATAGGAAAAACATTGGATACATCTCAAAACATTGATCGTAGTGCTAATAGTGGAAACATCATCTTGTTTTAATTAATAAATAACTACATTGTCATTACTCTTACAAGTAATTAAATGTATAATGTACTTTCTTAACAAATATTTTTAGAAATCCATCATGGTAAGTACCTCGACCAATATGTACCATATATGGGATTTTCTTAGAATGGCAATGGACATTGTCATATTCAACAAACAGTGTTAGAATAAATGACATAGGGTAGAAGGAACACGTGTGTTTTCATGCAGCTATTGAAAAGTTGACTTTCGATGAGAATATCCCACAATGGGATTTATTTTTATTATTGGTTTTTTTCAATGGCAAAAAGTAAAAACCTAATATAGGAAGATAGGATCAGGGCAGCAAGAGGCCTACCGGTCAGACAAAAAGTAGTTGAGAATGCCTAACTTAACAGCAGAAAATGTTTTCCAAAAAAGACGTTGTTGGTTTCTATAGCTAACTTCTCCATTTATGACAACTTGGCAGTTGGTCTTTAAATAACTCATCTGTTTGATTTATTTTAAGGCTCAAATTAATTTCTAATCAAGGACATTGCCATTTTGAGTGACTGGTAGGTGCTGTCACATGTCATGGCTGCTAGCTGTCTGCTTTAGTGTAACACAATTCATTAAAAAAATAAATACTTAGAATTAAATCAGTCCTTTTATACATGCCTTTGTTGGTATGTTACAATATGATAACGTTTGACTGAAAACTTGATTTTTGAAAGGACAAACAAAATGTTGAGTCCAAAAAAACATTTTAATATTTGAAATCCACTGCCAAATGAATTTTAATTAAAGTACCAAGTACTTCTCTTACAGGGTAAATTGAAGGCTGCATGATTAGAATGCTATCCAAAGTACAAAACTATTTTTCGTGATGAATGGTCGTGCACACAAAACATTTTTAACCTTAAAAAATATTATAGTAGGACAACAATTTTCTCTGAAATATTTAAACTTTCAGAAAGGTATTTGCAAGGAACTTTAAATAAGAGTGCACTTTGCGGTGGTTTATAAAACTGCCAGTCCTGTTAACCATGTCAGTCTACTCTATCTGCCCCATTAATTAGCATTGTTCAGCATTTGCAGCACTTTTATTTGACCTTTGCCTTAAACAAGTAAAAGATGGATCGATGGCCACTTTGTGCGTAGATAGAGTATTGATGATTGAGTTGAGATAAATTAAAAGCACTTTCGGTCTTGAACCATGTGTGTTCGGAAAACTACAACTAGTTAAACATGCTAGGAAAAACTAAACACTGAAATAACCTCGATCTTTAGTGGTCGTCAAGTGCAAACGTGTTACAACGGACCAAAATACGTCCATTAGGGAGAAGCACCCTGCAGTTTCAAAAGAGATGCAATTATAAAACCAAAAATGTGTGCCAATATGCAAATGAAGAAAGAAATCCATTATTCAGTATTGTATCTTTGTGATAGTGCGTTTCTCCTAATGAAAGTGTTTTAAGCCGAGTTTGTACCTGTTGGCCACCATGTTTATCCCTTCACAATACATCATTCAAGAGAGTGAGTGTCAAAGTTGCTAAACTATCAAAGCCTTCTAGGTGGGTTCCAATAAGGAGCCTATTAGACCCGGCTAATAAGAAGCCTATTACAATCAGTGTGAGGTCGTCCAACAACCGAATTTACCAATTTAAAAAGCTTATTAAAACACTTGTTATACCAAGACAAAAACCAAGTGCAATCAATGCACTGTAATAGATGTTTCCTATTGTCGCTTGCTGACTGGGCAAAGGGAAGGGCTGCCATTTATCATTCTGCAAACGCCCCCCCATGCATCTCAGCAGGAAAAACAACCATGATTTTGAAATAGCCCCGGAGGGAATGATGCACAATAACAAAAAAAGCATATTTTGGACATTATATTTGAAGGTCTTGCTTAAAATGTAAGAAAATAATAATATAGCCACAGGGAGTGAAAGGGTAGTAAAGCGTGTAAAGCTGGATAAATGATTGGGGGAGTATTAGCTACATCACTTGTCATTACCGGAATGGAGCACACAGCACTGTTATTGATGTATTCTATATCAGCTGACTTAATAGACCCTAAAACAGCAGACATATTCATACATCAAGGGAGATGCAGAAGTGAGAAATAAAAGAGGTTGTAATTGTAACACTTTTTCAATAATCTCAGTGTCTGATGAATTGCATGGCTTCTGTATGTGTGAGTTACTGCGTAACATACCCCTGGCCCGGGTCGAGAGCGATGGCCCGCGGATGCTCCATGCCCCCGGCGATCAGCGTGGTGCGCATATCTCCGTTAAGCTTAGCCACCTCGATCTGGTCCAGATTGCTGTCAATCCAGTAGAGTTTCCCTGTGATCCAGTCCACAGCCAGGCCCTCCGGAGTGGCCAGTCCGTGCTGCACCACAACTTCAATCCCCGTTACCCCTGGAACAACAAAATCCCAATTTGAGACCGGTAGCAGAATGTCATTTGTCTCAGACTTTTTGAAACATATATATTTTTGACTTCACCTCAACCAAGTGGCCCAATTCTGCTTTTTGGATTATGTCTTTCCTATAGTGTGTTATATAAGTTTCCTCCAGAGGGAGTTTCTCTCCCCCACCTTCTGTGTCTGTAGCTTTAAAGGCAAATGAACTGCCACTCCCAACGCCCCTCTGTGAAGTCTTTGGTTAAAAAACTAAAACAATGGTGCTCGAGGAGGAGATTCAGGTGATAAGGTGGGCGGGTTTTGATTGGTTCGTGGCTAAAGGTTGCACAACCCAAAAACACATTGTGCCATCACAAAGTGGCCAAAATCTGATTAGCACATTTTCGGACAGGTTTTTATGTAGATTGATCAGGACAGAAAGAGAGATAATCTTATTTCTTGAAACTTTCCAAATCTCTTAACAGAGGGGACATTTAAATATTTATATTTAAAAGACATGAATAATTTGATTTTGCATAAAAGGTGGCTTTTAAAGCATGTAAACATATCACAGTAGAGGCACAAAATACAAATCCGAACCTGAAACTGAGCATAATAGGGCCCTTGATTTGAAGCTCATGCACCAGCATTTCAAAAGGTTCAGCTAATTTGAAGCAAATGAACTAGCATTCTTTAGAGTTTTTATACTCAATGTTGATTAAACTTATTGTACGTTGCTTTTGATAACATGTTTGGGTTAATTAAATGTACTGTGACATGATAGAATGAGTATATATGTAGCATGGGGGCAGCATTGGTGGTGGTGTCTATTTGCATTCCTCAAGTATACCTTCTCAAAGAAAAAGTCGATACTGAGAGAAGAAACTCTCTTGGATATAAAGAAAATTGCTTTCCACAGGGTTCCATTAAACATGTTAAAAAGGCTGTCCCACCATATTTATAATCTCAATGTTTACAATTATCCTCAGATGCTGAGGCTTTTATACGTGCCTCACAAAAGGGTGTAGTGGGAACATCTAAAAGGCGATTGCTACCGTTCCGCAGAGGAAAATAAAAGCAAGTAAACCTAATGAATGTTCTGTCACCCACAGAAATACAGAGCGAAGGAAAAGTTTGGATTCATCATTTTATGAGGGGGACATACTGTAAAACATCAGCTCAAGACTTCTGGTCCTGCAGTATTTTTTGAAATACTTCAGACAACCGGTGATGAATTCTCAGGCAGAGACAATGTCAACTCAGTGCATCAGAACCTGAGTATGTGTAACGGCAGGAGAGTAAAACAGAGCGTTATCATCGGCAGTGTCTCAGACTTCCATTACAGCTGTGCACCACAGATGACATGACTCTCTTTAGCCAATACATCAAAAGCAGTCTTCAGATAGCAAACGTTTGTGTACGTGGGTGTGTGCGCGTACCGCCAGTCTCGGAGAGCCTTCCTCTGTAGATCTTATCCTCCACCACATCTGTCCAGTAAAGGAGGCTGTGATTAAAGTGGAAGTCGAGCGCGATGGTGTTCCTCAGCCCCGGCACCAGCAGGCTGTAGTCCCGCTTGTGAAGGTCTATTCGTCTTATCTCGTGCCGGATTGAGAAAATGATGAAAGCCTCAAAGGGATCTGGCCAAGGAGAGAAAAAGGGAAGAAGCAGAAGAATGTTATGATTAAAGGAGGCCATGGAATGTCACACTAGATGTTTGTCATTACAGTGCTGGACAGAGAGTGAGAAAAGTATAGCGAACTGTGACCTCTTCTTCTTAATAGTAATGATTATATAGACTATTCTCTGGTACATTGTCTGAGAAATAATATTGCAATATTAACATTTTACAACATAACATGAAAACCTGTATTATATAAAGTAACAACGGAATACGTATTGATGCTTTTACATTATGAGATTTAGATTAGATAACTATAACATGCATTTTGTGTGTAAGAACCACATTGACACACACATGCATTTTCACACATATATATTCAAATGGCTTGATTTCCCTTGTAAAAATATGTGTTGGAACCACAACTCTTACTTTTCTAAGAAATTGATTTTCATACAAAACATACAGTACCAGCTAATGTAAAAGTTGTACACAATACATTTGAAGTAAACCATTACCTGTATTCAATGTCTATTTTCTATGCTGAAAATGTCAACACAATATAATACAAATATTAAATGTAACAACATAAATAAATGTATTGCACTCTACTTGTCCATAGGGTTGATCCTGCATGCTGGCTCGTTGTTGTGGCTTACTGGAGTAGTTGAATAGAACAGCGCGATTGAAAATGTACTAAATAAAACGTTTGCTATTTCTACCATGACAAAGGTTCTGCTGTAAAAAAAGGTCTATTGTAACTTGTTTATGTGAAACAGCAAAAGAGTTGCTAGCTCTGCCTTGTGAAATTAGCTTGTATAATTGCAAAAATAAGCGATGCTCCGATCACTAAAGTAGGGTTAAACTGAATGAGTGTGACTGGTTTGCAAAGTGATTCCATCACAACATGGTGGAAATGTATCACAGGGATTTGTTCAAATCAAGTAAAGTCCGTAGGGGAATTAAAACAATTTACTGTATTTAGCTCCATGTATTTTTCTCACTAAGCTTGCTTTCTCTCTCTCTGTTGATCTTCTGTGTGGAGGACATGCTTTCATACATGCATATCTCACTGGTTTAAACCACCACATTAATATGCATTGGTCGCTGCCAAACCAATTTGTTGTCAAACACTCTGGGAATCAACACATTACATATTTCCATTTTCTGAAAAAGTAGATACATTTGAAAGCAGTCCCTTAAGAGAAATACATTTTGCAGGGTCTCTAAGAAGTGGCTAAATCGAGTGACACGTCCTAAAGCTGGCATCTGTGCTTGTATGCAGAGATTCTCTGGCCTTGCCCACTGAGATTTATTTTAAAATCAGTAAGATTATTTCCTTCTGAGAAATGTTTATGCAACCAAAACGTTTCACTCTTCATAGCATTCTCCACTAAATCAAACTACAGGGAACAGAACTGTAAAAATGCAATTAAAATAGTGTCCTTGCTTCAATGACAAATGTTGGTGTAGCAACCAAAACTAGCTACAATGCAACCAGAGTGAATATTTTTGCTTGCAATTCTGTTATCCCCTGAGATGTGAAAATCAAAAGAAAGATGAGTGTATGTGAGTTTGGAACTTCACAAATAATCCAATAACACCTCACTCAGATTAAATTGGAATGTTTGTGCATGTATGCAACATTTGATTTATGATGAAGCGGTAGAATTGTGATGGTCTTCCAGAGAAAATAGTGTATTCTTTTCCCTGCGTTAATGTAAGATTAGAGTAGCAACGGCCATCAATCTTGGTAGTGAAATAGGAAAGCAAGTAATCAAAACGAGGTCCATAAATCTGAATGTGACAAGCACACAGCAAGTGTGTGTAACTATTGTATTTCAATACAGTTACAGAGCAGGCTCATCAAAGACATTATTCAATAAAAAAGAAAAGCGGAGAGTTTGAATTTGTAATTTGATACTACGCTAGCAAAACATTTGTGTCCGTATGACAATAGGAGAACTTGTGCAGTAGAAAAACTGCAAACTGTGGAAGTATGAGAGAAGAGAACAAGCTTCCCTCATTCAGCATCAGTTCAGATAGAAACAGACAGGGATCGTCACCCGGATGCCTCTTCAGATTGAAATTGATTGCATTTGACCTGACAGTACCCTAATTCAACACATATTACTATTGTTCAGATTACCCTGCCCTAACACAAAAGCCTTCCAATTCTGTAGTTTGACTTCTCTTGTTTTTCTTTGCAGTTTCTATAATCTATGGTGTAAATATTGCATTCATAAGTATTTTGAAAGTCATGTATTTTATTAAAGGCACCAACGCAGCTTTGGTACAGTCTGAGGGTGATGGTTGGGGGTTACCAATTATTCTAAGTCAGATTCAGATCTGAAAGTACCCTAAATCTACACATGTTATTCTCCGACTACTTTGCCCCAATGCAGCACTAACACAAAAGCCTTCCAATTCTGTAGTTTGTCTTTTCTAGTTTTTCTTTCCAGATTTCTTGTGTGGTAAATAGTGCAAGTATTCTGAAAAGTCTTATTTTTATTAAAAGTACCAACAATGTGGCTACAGTTTTTGGGTTAGGGTTAGGATTACCAATTATTCTTAAATCAGATTAAGATCCGACCCTAAATCAACACATAAGTAGTTTGCCATTTATTATGTTTATTTCCATTTGATTTAATCTATTGGATTAATAAGTATTGTGAAAACTTACATTTTTTTAATTAAAGGCAGCAACATTGGTCTGGCAGTGGCTCAGTCAGTAGGGGCTTGGATTGGGAGTCGTGGGGTTGCTGGTTCAAGTCCCAGAAAATACTTAATAAATATATGGAGTGTGGACTGGTACTTGCAGATTTCCCAGTTCACCTCCTGGGCCCTGCTGTGGTGCAATTGAGCAAGGCAACGGACACCCCCCCACTCCCCGGGCGCTGTACAATAGCTGCCCACTGCTCCTAGTACTGGGATGGGTCAAAAGCAGAGACCACATTTCACTGTGTGTGCTGTGTGCACAAACATGTGCAGAGATGGGGTCGATACTCAAAAAACGTGTTACTTTACTCGCAGGACCCACCCTCCCTACAGGCAGATCACGCAGACTGCGGAGGGTGCTTCATTTTGCGGAAGGAGCCCCATCTGAAGCGCAAATGCGGCTGGCCAGGACACAGTTTGCACCTCACCGTCACATTCCTGTCCTTTCTTCGGACGAACACAAAATAATGGGCATACCTCCACCCCTCGAAAGTTATCGCTGTTGACTCAGCCATGTTTATGCACTGTTTGGGGACGCACAAGTCCCGCAAATGTTACGTAAATATAAACCTGTGGCGGAAATCCCTCTTGTCTGTCAAGGGAGAATCTAGTAATTATGTATGTTAGTAGGCTAGCTGTAGTGTGATTACTGATTTTATAAAAGTAACAAAGTAACGCGTGTCGGACAATGTTAGTAACTGTAGTGTGATTAGTGAATTATAAAAAATGCGTTACACTACACCGTTACCGACAAAAGTACTATTATTACAGTAATGCGTGTAACGTTACTTTGTACCGCGTTACACCCAACTCTGAACATGTGTGATCAATAAAGAGGGTTTCATCCTCCAATTATATTCTATTGCCTGACTAGGGTCTTAGGGTTAGGGTTGGAGTTAGGTGTAGTCAGATTCAAATAGTTTAGAGTTAATCAGTTACTAGTATGCCTTAAGAGCAGACCCACAGCCACACACCATAGGCTACCGGCAGTCAGCAGCATCACTGAAAACAAACATTAAAGAAAGCTATGCCCCGTTACCCGTGCTGTGGCAGCTGTCTCCGTCTGGCTCCAACGTCCATCCCGGATAACAGGAGCACTTCACCGTTGTCTTGTACTGCTCACACACCTGGCTGCACTTCAGGTGACGACTGCAGTAGTCCACCACCTCACACGTCTTGTTACTGGAGTCCAAGTGAAGCCCAGGGGGACAGGAACACACGACCCCTTTCCCTGGTGCAACTGTGCACTGGTGACTGCAGCCCCCTCTGGCTACAAGACACATATCTGGGGTGGAGAAAGGGCAACACAACTGTAAAGAACTGTACAGACACTGGAAGAAAGCCTGAGGTTTAAAAGACCATTTAAAAAATACAGTATGTGTCGCTGCTAAATCTCAAGTTCACAGTCTAATAAGCAATAATTCCATGAAATCAAAATGTTCTGATGTTTCAAGGATAACATATTTTCAATCATAGGGCAAGTATAGGGATTTTTGTCACATACAATGAAGATAAATATGTTGTATAATGAGAACACTTTCATACAGCAGATGCTCTTGGGTTTCACCTCAGGGTGAATTACTTTTATTTCTGTAAATGCTTCGAAAACTAATCAGGAACGAGAAAATTATGCACTTTTCCTGTCAAAAGTGGTTAGAAGATAGACGTATTTTAAGTCTGTGCACTTTCATCTTGTTAGAAAGTTGTTTTCTGCCCCTACGCACCTGGCTTTTGTTAGCAGCTGCCAGGTCAAGATTGAATGCTATATTGGTGAGAATAAAACTGTTCCAGCCTCTGTATTCCCAACATGATTAAGATTTCATTTTCAAGGTGGGCAACAACAGCAATGGACACTCGCAGTGGGGGGTGGATCATGCGGTCACGGTTGTTAATGGTGGTTTGTGTGTCCCACTGATGTGGTGCAAATCAATCAGGCTCTCAAGGTCTCTCTGAACACATAATTGTCTATGAGGAGCCAGCAGCCCTCTTTCCAGCTCTGATAACACAGGCACTCAAAGATGCTGAAGGGCCCCCATGAGGCTTGGTAAGTGACGCTGTAGAAAATGAACCTCAATGTTTACACTGCTCACTTTAACAGATTAGATGGCTTGGGCCAGTCACATGAGATCACTTTCTTCCCTCTGAAGGCCACTGGACAAACACATCCATATTAGCCATCATCCAGAACCAAGAGTATTACTTTCTGTCCCTTCTGTGTCTGAGACAACACCTACAGATTCCATGTCAAGCTCTGACAAGCTGCTCTCTGTGAAGGAGTAGATATAGCAGGGGCCCCATGGGAGATGTTTCTTCAACAGCCAGTGATATAACATTAAAAAAAATATCAAAATGAGAGTTAGCACGGATGCTGTGAGGTAGCTTAGCAGGGAACGTGTCTTGAACACCTACAGCGAAAATATGAGAATGTGACAGCGCTTCAACATCCCAATTAATGTTCATGCAACTCTGCAAAGCTGTACATTTCAGGAATAAATAACTTTCTTTTTAATAAGACGAATATGCTGCAGTTTTCACTCCCAATTTCAATGTGATTTATTAAATTGAATAGATGTTTTCTTTGATTGGTTTTATCTTAATGCCGCCAACTCCAGTTTGTCTATCCTTGCAAGATTTGTCAAAGAACCGCAAACACAGTGGGATCGATGCAACATCCTAAAAGTCCCTGGAAGTAATTATTTATGACACTTTTTCTTCATCTTTTCTCTTAAAAGGGGGTGAGTCTCAACATTCAGCTCCTGTGGGCTTGAAGCGTGGCTATAAAAAGCTCCCCATAAAAATAAAACAGCAGCTATGGTCAACTTGATTTCGTGAGTAGCATCATATTCCAAGTTTTTATAACTTGAAGTCCAAAAAATCAATACAAACTTCTCAGAGTCATACTTGTCAGTCTATCACCCTCCTCCGAGGTGAGAAGTTCAGGGAGAAGTTGTGTATTCAGTGGCTGGTTGGGACACACACTGACCATACTGATGGATGCTCCACAGATAGGGTGGTATGTTGCTATGTCGATTTGTAAGTGCTCACCATTTGACTTTTGGAATGCATTGTCTGAACTATATGAATCGACAATTTTTTTTTCTTTCTCAACACCAGAGGATGAGTGTTTGATATTCTGTCAACATACTTTTAGTATGTTGGGTAAAGGGCTATTTTTGACAACCTAGTTTTTTTTCAAAATTGATAACCACAATTTGTGAAATGCCAACAAAGAGTAACTATTTTGCCTTTTGACACCAAGACACTGGAAACAAGTGGATTGGATGGAATGCAAAAAGCCAGTCCCAAAATGTAATGTATTTTCCTGCACTGAGCTTTAATTTCCACCTTATCGAACCCATAGATTTTCAACAATCACATTTCCTGACCATGTGTAGAAATGACTGTCGGCATCTTGCGGGATGACTGAGGACAAAAAAAGAAGACGTGACAGATAAAACAAACATACCGCAGATGGGGCCTTCATCCGAGCGGTCTGCGCAGTCCACTTTTCCGTTGCAGATCTTATCCGGTGTGAGGCAGACGGAAGTGTCGTTGGCACAATGGTACTTGGGGGGCTTACAGATGGCAGTCTCACAGGACTCTTCATCTGAGCGGTCCTCGCAGTCAATGTCCCCGTCGCACACCCAGCTCTTTGTTATACACTTCCCTGTAGAGAATAACATGAGGAGATAGGCAGACTTATTTTTCAGGGATTTAAACATTGATAATCTGTAGTTTCTAGTTCCACTGCATTTCAGATGATGTAATCTTGTTGTGAAAGAATTGGATGATGCGGATTCCAAAAAAACGTGTTCTGCCCTATGTAACTGAGATGTTAGGGGTACATTCAGTGCTTCCATTTTTTGTTCAATGTTAACTAATGTGTCTCTTTTCTTTGAAATAAACACTAGATTTAAACAACAACAGCCAACAAACAGTTTATCAGCTATGGCCTAAATGTTTGACTTGATAAAAAAACACAACATCAATATTATTTTTGTTATTTTGTTATGCTTAAGCTTCATTTGTAACTCCCTGGACGCAAAGGTTGGAAATAAATAGGTGGAACTACAGAGAGGGGTGAGGAGTAAAACAATACAGACATCAGGAGGTATCATCCTTTTGTTTTACTCTCCAAAGTGAAACAAGGATCGCAGCATGTGCCAAATTACACTTTTTCCATCAAAGCTACATCACACAGCTTTGGGATCCAACTCGTTTTGCTTTGTGCTGGATCAGAACAAACATACGTGGGAGGCTGAAGTGACTGCTGTGGGGGTGTGGGTTGCGTGTGATATCAGGTATGTTGTTGTGTCTGTTTAGCCTCAGATCACCTCTCACCTTCCCAGCAGTCCGTACAAAAACAGTCAGATGACACTTGATTTTCCTTTTCTGAACGCCTTATATGACGCTGGTGCAGTTGCATGCGAAAATGCAAGCTCATAATGCTATTTAAATACCAAAGCTTTTCATGCATGAAATATGGAAGGCACTTGTGGCGCGGAAATGTTCCATTCAAGTGTGTGTGATAACAACTTTCATGGTTTCCTGATGAATCCCTTTGACCTTGCAAATCCTTGGATTTTACTGTGTGTGTGTGTGTGTGTGTGTGTGTGTGTGTGTGTGTGTGTGTGTCAGTGGTAATGCACATGGACAGAGAGTTTAATCTTTTGTACAACTGAAATAACCAGTCTTGATTCTGGCAATTTCACCTAAGTTGACTTAGCAGAAAAATAAATCACAAACTTCAACTTATTGAATTTACAAGATTCAGAGTGCATGTGTCTGTATAAAACGTAAACTCCAGATGTATGTGGCTGAACATATTGTTGAAAGTAAATGTTTTTGGGGAGTCAAAGGCACAAAAGCAGGGAATACTTTTAAAAAAATCTTTATTTAAGATTGGCCATACCTATTGCCTTTTTAACAATCAGGGTTGATGATAATATAACAATGAGTAATATATATTCCCATCCAAAACAGGTTATTTTTCTAACTCAGAAAAGAACACCTCCTACACACAATGCTTTGGTTGAATTAGAAAGATGAATTCCTTCAAATGTCATATACAGTATCATCCACAAATACCCTGTATAAACTGAATATATGGGGCCTGCAGCCCACACACAATTTTAATATTTTAGAATAAATACCAAATTCAGTTGAAGTATGATATGAAGGTTGAACATTGTAATGTTTGTGTGACTGTGGCTCACTGGGTAAATGGGTGTCTACAAATAGGAGTTCCAGTGGTTCAATCCCCAGCCCTTGCAGTCAATATTTTGAGTGTAAGTAAGTGCAAGTAAGTGTCATTGTGCAAGATACTTTAACGTAAATTGCTTCCGTGGGCATGTATACCCCAATGAGGTTGATATAAATTGGATAGAGGCATCAGCCAAATTATGTGTAATATTGTAATGTATGAGCACAGACAGAACTATATATATAAGTATAGAAGACTCACCATTGCAGAAAAGTGCTCTGAACTATAAAAGGTATGCGTTTTGATAATCACCACATGCATCAGTATAATGTTAATGTTCCCATTCAATCCACACTCTGCAATAGCCATCTCTGGGTGAAACTGATTCTGCTCTCATTCAGGAAATAAATTGCCCTAGCGTAGCCAGAAGTCAGTAGGCATGGTTGAGAAAAAGATGGAGGTTAAAAAGCTGTTCGGCTCATATTATACCCAGTATAGAGCACTTATATAAATCATCACAAGAATATTCAAAGTGTATTGCATGGATATGGGTCGAGGCATACCCAAACCAAACTACTAGTGATAGTCATTGGCTCAAGGCACTGACTGTTCTAAGCTCTACCCGTTTTGCCTGAGGCAGTGATGCTGAACTGAGCATGGTGAACATTGGATGCTCTGCAAACCTGAGGGGGTCGTTGCCAGATTGAAAAGTAAGCACATGGTTAAGGGCCAGAAACATGAGCTTATTTTCAAAAGCAATGCAGCTCTAGTCCAATTTCAGTCAGGAAGACTCTTATGTTGTATGGTTTGTAGTTTATTTCTGATATGTTTACTTATTATGCATGCTCAATCATAATTCCTGCTTTCTGGGTCCCAGAAAAGGTGATAGCATTGTTTTCTTTTTTACCGATCACTATCTCTTACCCCATCATTGTGAAAATGGTTCAAAACTCACATTTTGACCATCCCCACCCATACTAAAGTATAGGTCAATTTAATTAACGCACAATGTAGTGGAAACCTCTAAACTCTATCAAACCAAATTCCTCATTCAACAATCGAATGCTTGTTCCAATTAGTTATTTAACATTATTGCTTTTACAGGAGCAACTTAACTAAATAATATCTCTTTGATTAAGATATATTTGTAATGTCTGTTTAGTTGTGCTGTTCCATTGAACGCAAGCCAATACATTTACAATTATTACCTCTGTTATCACTGTATATTTTACATATGTTAATGCATTCATCCCCAAAGGTGTAGCTGATCAAGAAAAAGTATTCAAATGTGGCTTTAGTCTTCATTTCTAATAAGTAAAAAAATACAAAATACACAATCATAATACATTACACACGATCCCTGTAATCTCTCAGAGCGGCAAAAATGTCCCCTTCCAAAAACTAGTTTGAATATTGTTGGCGAGGGCACTCTGTTCTTTGGAGGAGGACAGAACAAACTGCACCAGTGCACAGGGGAGTGACACAGCAGAATGAAAGTGAATAATAATTGTGGGGTCTAACCAGCCCCTAACCACGCAGCATTGCTTCCATTCACGATAATACTGTCAAGGGACAAGTGAAAAGCTACAGAGCTAAAGACAAAAAGGAACCGAATATTTCTTTGACCTTTTCCTTTCAGCCGCAGCACCAAAATGGAATGCTAGGACTGGGTACATAGGGGGTTTATACAGGCCATGTAAATGGTCTATCCTGATTGGTCGCACAAGTACATGCAGACTTCTCTGCACTGCAAGAAGAGAGTGGTTAAGCCTCTAGAGCCTGTCAAAGAGTGAAGTCTTTGTGAAATGGAAGAAAGCCATTTGGCAGCTATATTCACAACTGATTCACACAAAAGGAAATGTTCATGAAACGACTGAGATACTTTCCTCCTCTGTATACCCAAGCAAGACAAGGCTAAAAATGTTAAGTAGATCCTGTTTACGGAATGTAAAACATTTGAAGTTTAAGTATTGTGAAAGTCCAGCCAGTAAATTGCGGATTTATAAAAATAAAATGTGGTTTTGTAATCCATTCATGTAACTCCAGACCAGTATGTATAATGTAGAGGGAATTTCACAATTGTTCTGGTGATTTTTCATGATGTAACCCAAGCGGCAAACTGGGGCAGAGCCGAGAGGCCAATAAGGAAGTGCCACAAACTGCAGTTCATCTATTGGCTGATAGGCAATGACTGCAGAAAGGAGCAATTTCCATAGACCCCCATGTTAAAATGCCCAACTTTACAGCAGAAAAAAACATGTTTCTACCCCTGGATGCAATACAAATTATTATGGATATAGTTAGATTCCACCTTCATGATTATGAATTGGGGCTGATGCGGGGAACACAACTTGAACATGTTGATGTGTTTGTTGTGTCTGTGCCTGGTGGAGTATTCTTCATTTAAATACCGGACAGCTCTGCGGTTAAAACAGACCATCCCTGAATGCAGTTTCTTCGGTAAGTGAAATTCAAGCACTTTATTACGGTGGCCCTGTGTTGGGCCAATCACGAAGCATCATTTATTGACTGGCAGCCAAAACAACCAATCACAGCAGTGCTTCTCTGGCTGGCTCTGTCCAATCAGAAACAAGAAGTGTTCTCCCTAAGGAATACCCTTTCCGTCCAATGTGAAATGCTGTTGTGTTTTCTGAAATGCTGTGGTGTTTTGTGAAATGCTGCGGCGTTTTGTGAAATGCTGTGGTGTCTCGCACTTCAGGTCCACCGTACTTTATTTCTTACTGGACTTTTTATTCAGCTAACGAGCGAGAGGAAGCTCCATCTGTGCTAACGATGCTATTCATAGCATACAAGTTCAAACGTATTAGAGAAGTGTAAAACATTAAGAAGGATAAGTAGCATAAAAAGCTTCTGTGTGAGGTTGGTAAAATAAGGTCATGCTTGTACATTAGTTAGTTTGCTAGTTAGGTAACTGTATTGTTAGTGTTCATTTAAATGAGCTATGCTCGACGATGCAGACAGCTAGCGTCACAGTAGTGTTGAAGACCAGCGTACTGTATATGAGAATAACCTCACTATATATCCGTGTATCTGAAAAATATGAATCTCACATTTCCAGATGGTTCCAGAAATAACGTTAACGTACAGTAGATAATGCAATATGGTTTGTTGAGCTGGAGTTGATTATTGAAGCTTACTGGTTAACGTTCATCATATTAAACAAACAAACCCAAACCTTGTGGTTTTTATTAATATTATTACCAATATTTACTAAGCATTTTATTATCATTACACTGGAGAAACCGACATATTGTGGCAGCAGAACGTGAACATGNATTTATTTAGTGATAAAAAGAGATATAAAAAATCCCTTCTGTAAAAGCCTTCAATTCTAATATGACAACAAAATGAAACAAGAATTTTGAACCGGGCTTTATCCAATAAAAAAAATTCGTTTCCTGAAATGTGTTAAAATATGCGCATATTTAATGAGATTATGGCTAATTTGCATATTTAAAC